GTGTTTTCTAAGTTGGTCAATGCACTTGGTAGGATTCTCATGTGCTTGGGTTCATTCCCTCTTTCCCTAATGGGGAAATGTACAAAATCTCTGCAAGATACAAATTAACTCAATGTGAGCTTGACAAACAAATATGAGATAACTTAATGGCAAAGAACATAGATCTATACTAGATCTCTGTGCAGAAAAAATGAGCTCAATTTGCATCGCATTCATGTTCGAAGTCTCTAAACCTAGGGCAAATAAATTAACGGTTCTAGGCGTGACATAAATCCAACAAAAGATTTTGTTCAAACATCAAATTCGACCTGGTTCATGGAAGATTTAACACATGCATACACGTACAGTTTACGTTAAAAACCTGGTAGTGCAAATAAAAGCGTAGCTAGAAAGTATTTGCATCTGAGAAGGAAAAATAGTAGGTATTTGTATGCATATTACATCTCTGTAAAAATGAGAATCTTTCAGTGCTTGTGCAAGCTCTATGAACTTTATCTGTTCTTTTTTTTCGTCATGCGTTCTATACTACTAATGTAAAGATCATTTCACCGTTATTCAGAGTCAAAAGCAAATCAAGCAGTTTATGTACCTATGAACGATTTGATCGACCCTATTCCTGCCACAACATTTGCAGATTTGGATTCTACTGCCATGCTTACCATAGGATTTGCTTCCAAGGATATTTGATTATCCTAGATCCTTTAGATTCAACCACAACTATGCTATAACCTCAAATCGCTTGGAGTGAACATTATGAAGCTACAGAAAGAGTTAAGGAAACTTTATAACGTTACAAAGAACTTCAGTACATTATCGCGATCCTTGGGGTCGAAGAATTATAGGAGGATCGTTTAACTATAGCAAGTGCATTAAAAACATTTTGCTTCTTATTGTTCACAACCATTTTTTGTGGCTATGTTTTTACTGGCTCTCAAAAGGAAAGTATGTTTTCTTGTGGAAACAATTAGGGAATTTCAACTAATCCTTTTTAGAGAATTAGAAGGCCTGCCCCCAACAGGCTTTTTATTTCGTAGAATGGAATAGCAGATGTACATGCCACAACTAGTTACAGTTTTCATGTGCTGAGATTAAGCGGCAAAGTAAATTATTTTACTATATTTTTACTCTGGTCTTGAGGTGGTACCACACTTTTTAGATTAATTTCTGGTACCTCCCAATATCTTTCTAATGTAATGTAAATTGAGAGGTAATTTCTCTTTAAGGACCTAGAAAAATGTCACTTTACTAGGTGCAGCAAAATGGTGATTTCTTCAGAAGTTAATCCCAAGCATTGATTTCCAATCTGGTGGGCTTGAAAGAGGGAACCAGCAGTGGTGCCTTCTCCACTATACCTGATTTGCATTTCTTCAGAGATATATCTTATTTAATATCATCTCAAATTAATCTTTGTATCAGCTAATCATAATTTAGTTAGATGCACGAGAAAACGACACGTTGGATTGGGATATATGCTTACACCAAGATTGATGAACTTATCAAGAACAAAATGGATGCTATGGATGGGATTGATGATGACACACTAAACATCACACACTCAAATAAATGACAGGCTATGACCATAGCATATATGGAAGAAGTGGGGCATGCAATATCATTGTACCATGGAGACCTTAGCATACAGATAGAGATGACAGCATATATAGTTTGTGTGCTCAAAGCCAAGAACCTATCAGGTACCACATATATGAGTGATCACTGTGAGATGTTGGAGCAAAGTCACATTGCCCTCTAATGTACATAATCATGCTGAACAGACCTCACAAGCAAGATTTGTGTCCTCCAGTAGTAGTGGAAGAATATACCATGACAAGAATGCATGCATGGTCTCAAAAAGACAGAGCCATAGAGGCAAATCATGATTGGGAGTCATTTCACAGAAGCATTTGTCTCAAGCTTTCTTAACAGAGTCAGGATCATAAATCCCAATCTGAGTACTAGCTAGCTGGCTGACAAGATTTGTTGGCAGTAAGAATGACTAGCCAGACCAAACCAGTTAACACCACTAACTTATACTATGATTCAGACCACATACTGAACCTAATATACACTATACAATAGATTCTGCCTCTAGAAACTCTGCAGTAATTAATTTTGTTTGTTAGAAACACCACTCAAAATCTTTCTTTGTTGCAAGAACTTGTTGCATCAAATTTACTCACAACAAAATAAGTTAGTTCATTTTAACTTTTGGTGTTCTGAACATATATTTTAGTATCTAGAAAAGGTTATGTTTTTTCTTGCATGTGGTTTGAATATATATGAAAGTTTTCACCAAAAAGCTAGATAAATTAAACAAATAAATGTCATCCTATATGTCATTGGTCTTCAAAAATTTTTGAAGCATCTGAAACAAATATAGCATAAAGACGGCCAAAATGGTTCAAAAACATAGCTGTGTAAACCTCTTAATGAAGAAAGTTGCAAAACTTGGTGAGCAATCCAAAAGCATAAAAACAAGTCCAGCAAGTAAAGACAATACTTCTATTGTCTGAAAATTTTGGTAAAATACTGATGTCAATCTCAGTTAGATATACCATGCACCATTTTTTTAAAAGTTAGTTATTTTTGCAAGTTTCAAATTAATTGTCACTGTTGTTGGCTCCACTAGTACTGAAATTGTCAATACATTTTTCAGAGAGGGATGGAGTACTAGTACTCTAAGTGTGCAAGAAACAACTAGTGCGGCAGAGGTAGTGCTCCAATACTAAGAATTCTCCCTGTCCCGATTGCAACAACACACAAAACATATCTTTTTTTTTTCTCTCCTGCTCTTTTTACAAGGCATGGGCACAGCATGTTCAAAAGAAAAATGATTCCTCTGTCCAAATCTTGAGCAGAAGATCACAATGCCATGTTGGCTTCTCTTTGTTTTTTTTTCTTTTTTCTATCTCTCATTTTTTTTCATGGGGGAGATGTTTGTGGCTTGCTTTGACCAACAGAAATCCATGTGAAGAACTGATCATGATTAGTAGTTCAGTACTAATGCAGGTGACCCAGATGGATGCATGGATGCCTGACACGTGCGCCGGCAACAAGTGGACGGTTGAGATGGAGAGAAAGATTCCATTTTGTGATTTTATTATTGTTACTACTGCATTTCCATGTGGCTTAGACGGCTAGGAGAATCTTTAACCCAAGTGATTCTCTGATGGTATTTTTCTTTTCTGATGCTTTCTTAGCACACTGATTTGTGTTTGAAACTAGATCAGAAATTAATCCAAGGATATCTAGCAGTATCCATATGGGTGCATCTTTGACTGGTAAAATTCCGACCAAAGTGTGTCTGTTTTAATTTGTTCACTAAAACTATGCAAGAAAATGATGCATGCGCAGCCGACCCATGAACACTGTCAGTAGCATGAGACCAAATTAAGCATATCTGTTATTCTCTCAAATGTTTGATTTGGGTCAAGTTCTAATTGTAACTAATATTAATTTGCAACGGCATGCTTCTAATGATATATTAAGAATAAGAATCGATACGTGTCACGTAGCCCCAAGAACAATGAGCTCAGATGTTGACGGTTTAATCGTTTAGGACGGTTCAAAGAGATCTAAGAGTTTAGTTTAGTATATGCCGGTGATATGTATGTGCCGTCAAAATTACTGTTCTTGCATGGTTGAATGGGCCATCTCAGAGTTTGATTAAGGGGAGTTTAGGTGCCTAATCTCACTGTTACTGTAAAATGATGAGTATTTTTCTCATTATTAGCAATATAGAAGTGCATTTCCGGGTTATCACTTCATTGCCAAAATAAACCATCATATTTTGGCATTGCCAAATGCCCAAATTCTAGTAGGGTAACAAATTAATAAGATTTTATCATTGCAACCTTATCAGTTGTCAAATTTTAGTAGGGTCTAATTAAACAAGATAACCATTGCAGCCTTTACCAATTCTACCAAAAATTTATAATTTTAGAACCTTCCACTCACAAAACTACATCAAAACTTGATAAGGTATCAAACCAAATAGCACCTTCACATCTTTAACCTTGCTAAAATTGGGCATTGTCAATCTTTAGCTTTACTAACAAATGGTAAGATTTACTTTGACAATAAAGTGAATAAGCCCTTCCTTTCCTTATTGTCATGCTCAATCTTGGAGCATCAGTTTGGGCACCTTATATGGAACGCAAAAAATTGCAGGGTTTTCACAGGGTTTAGGCTGTGTTTAGTTCACACAAAAATTTAAAAGTTTGGTTGAAATTAGAACGATATGACGGAAAAATTAGAAGTTTGTGTGTAGAAAAGTTTTGATGTGATAGAAAAATTAAGAGTTTGAAGAAAAACTTTGGAACTAAACAAGGCGTTAGTTTATTTTATTCAAAACCCCGCAAAATTCACCCATTCCAAAGAAGGCATTAGTTCACAATATGTCAATTCACCATTTCACCTCTTCGTCTGGGCCATTTGGCTAACCCATCTTACATGACAACCCCAGACAGGCAAACAGATGAGAGAACTAGTGGGCTTACAATGGCTTGAAGCCCAGGACAAATTACAAGTGGGTCAGAAGACCAACGTATTCCTGGATTAAAGAAGAATATAGCCCAATGGGCTGATCAATAAACACTACTTCCTCCATCTTAAAATATAACCGAATTAATCACACCCTATTATTACAAATCTGAACAAACAGTACTAGGATGTGTCTAATCTAATACAAGTTATATTTTGGACAGAGATAATAGAAAACAATGCCAGCCAGAAAGGCAATACTTGACACACTAAGGTAAGGCGATCTTTTCTCCTGAAGACGAAGATTAAGTTTTTTACGCAAAACAAGCTGATATTAACGTATGATTAATTAAGTTTTAATTATTACAAACTTGAAAAATAAATTAATATGATATTTTAGAGCAACCTTCGTATAGAAAGTTTTGGTATGAAAGGGTTTAGGGTTTAGGGTTTGGTACGAAACGCACCGTTTAGCAGTTTAAAAAGTGTGTCACAAAAATCTTAATTTTCATCCAAGGTGACAAAATAAATCAAATTCTTCCTCACAAAAAATAAAATAAAACGTAATTCCAATTCGGTCTAAAAAGTACACAGTTAATTTTTCCAGATAACAGCAGCTGAAAAGTTCAGCAATCGCATCTTAGCACAATTTACAACAATGGTAGGTATGTTCCTACGCACTGCCTTTTGACGCATGTTCAAGAAGGTTCCATACTGCTTTGGTTCTGACTTCTGATGAAGATATCCCTACTCAACCCTGCATACATAGCGATACAATATTCACATTTCTAGACAAGGTTATAACAATTTCACCAGCCTATTTTCGTCTGACCTCCCTAGTAAAGTTGGAAATGGCATCTCAACTGTTGTTATACATTTGTACTTCTTCAGATAATTACAGAATAAAATGCATACTGCATTCATCAACTGGGAATCTGAGATCAAATGAATATGCAGGTAGTAACTAACAAGGATGAATCAACTTATAGTTCATGCCTGCATGGAGTAAATCCGTACAATTTACACATTAATGTCCATCTCAGTTCTACATACCATAACAAAGGATTGCCAACATATAGTACCTCATGATATGAGACTTACTTGTGCACTGGGATGAACTTACTATAGACCCAACTAACAATAAAACGATGTTTTTTTTAAAAAAAAAAGGAATAAGAGACTTCCGAAAATAAGGTGCTATTCCAAAATTTTGACCTTTTTTACGACATTCATGAGATTTTGTCTGCTACACAACTAGCGAACTCTGGCATGGCAAGCATAAACTCAGTTCCAAAAGCAATGAGAAACTAGGGTGGTGTTTGAATGTTCTGAAGATGAAGATGAAGATTAAGTGTTTCACGCAAAACGAGGTTGTAATAACGTGTGATTAATTAAGTTTTAATTATTCCAAACTTGAAAATAGATTAATATGATATTTTAGAGCAACTTTCATATAGAAAGTTTTCACACGAAACGCACCGTTAAGTAGTTCGAAAAGCGTGCCACGAGTATCCAAGATTTAATCCAACTTTAGTTGGAGAAAAGAACAGGGCCTATTCTATAATGTAAAAGGAAAAGAAACGGAATGACTATAAGTTTCTGTTCTGAACATTTGATATAGCTCGTCAGTTGTCACTAAAATCATTACTTCTATGTTGGAAATTTTCTGCGGTCCAAATTAGAACCAGCAGTTTCTTTGCTTCTCTATGAAACCAAGGGGAAACAGCAGTTCTGATTCCCTCAAGATTTTAAAATTCAGATGATATAACTAAATACCACATAGATCATTGGAAGGTATGTCATGTAAAATCCTTTTTTCAGCGAAACAGTAGGACTAATGCATTATATATATATATATATATATATATATATATATATATATATAGTAAATTTGTTAGGGGCACCATGGTGCCCGGGCTCCATGGCCATCCACCGTCTATATATATATATATATATATATATATATATATATATATATATATATATATATATATATATATATATATATATATATATATATATATATATATATATATATATATATATATATATATATATATATATATATATATATATATATATATATATATATAAAAGGTATGTAAAATCTCCATCATATAACAATGAACAAGCCTTTTGATAAAATAAGTAGGAAAAGACATTTAAGGAATAATTGCAGGCGTGAAAAATAAGCCATCACTAGAAATTCAGAATTCTCCAAGTAAAGTAAAATATTTGTGAATTCATGATGCCAACCTGGTTGAGAAGTGAAGATGCAGAACATTAGGGAGCAATCAAATAGATTAACAACCCACTTTTCAGTTTATGCATTTGCATCTATGCTGCTGTAATTGTCTCCTTTTCAACCTCAACATTATTGTCTGGGAGACTCTGCAGTACCTAATCAAGAGTAGAATTGGCTGTCAAGACTGTAGGGATAGAAAAAAATAATTTATAAGTAAGTAGTACACTCATATACCTCATACAAGTGCCAAGATATGTAGGCATCTGTAGCAGCATACTGAAGTTGTTGCTTTGAGAGAACATATGCCTCCCAGTTTCCCATTCTTATGTTGCTTGGCTTCGGCAACTATAGACGAGAAGATGCAGCGATTAAAGCATCAAAATTTAAATTTTAGAAAACCCAAATTTTTCAGGCGCTTTTAACACAAAACACTAGGTTTACCCATTCATTTTAAGGAGCCCTAGGTTTGGGTGTGAAAATGTTTTAGAAGACCACAGGCATACAACCATACCATCCATTTTTATTTGTGCATGATACAATAATACACTCAAATACATACACACAATAGCTACGCCTTTCTGCAGGTGCCAGTTGCCAAAACTCTTTTTTTATTTCTGTATGATATGATAATGTGTCAAAACAAGTTTGATAGCCGACATGGTTGTGTTTCTATGTAACTGATTACCGCATCACTAACACCGGGCTTTGCATTGTTTTATTTAACGTCTTGCTGTGTGAGGGCAGGGATGGAGAACATGTATTGGACTAGTGGTGAGCCACTAATAGATATAAACTAATCAAAGGTATATCAACTTATCAAGAACCTTCAAAAGAAAAATGCTTGTATTTGAAATACATTTAAGAGATCCTACCAAATATTAGGTGAACTTGTATCATTTAACTAGTTGTGCAACCGAACTTGCTGTAATGCATAGACCACAAACATAAATAACTGAACAGAAAGAACACATTTTTATTCAATGCTACCAGAACTGGGCAAAGAGAACAATGCTTGATACCATAAATATTACCTCTCTACATGTGACCATTTCAGTTAATGAAGCAAGACTCCATCTTTTAGGAGGGAAACCTAACTTGGCATTAGCAAGATTTGACAGATCCATCAATGGCTGTACATGGACATCATAGTCATTGAACATTTTCCTTGCGTCATTATCTATACATATTCCAACCTGCACTGACATGGAAACAATGGTTTGCATGATGAAAACATGTTAACCCGTGCGTGGGAAAAATGGGGATTTATCTGCAGGGAAAGAGGGAAGCTGTGTTTACTTTAACGGACGAACTATCCTCCAAAAGAGACTTTAGTACAGGTGGCACTCCGGAGTGAATGATGTGCATGACATAACAACGAGTTCTCTCCATGCATAACTGCATTACAGCAACTTTACATGGTGGATCTCCTGCAAAATCCATACCCCATCAGTTATGTTCCGTCAATATCATTACTTGCAAGAGTTTGAGGCTTTCTTTTTTTTCAAAAAAGAAGACTTGATTCCAGAAACCCACATTTGCTCAATCTGAACATGCTGAAAATGCAATTAAAGATTTGGTTAGGATTTAGGAAAAACAGCAAACCTCTTCTCGGAAAGGGCCTCCACTCGAGATCGAATCCAAGAGAAACCTGGCCAGAGGCCTTCATGGTTTCAATTTTGCATAAAATGTCCCTTGTGGCTTTCTCCACTTCTGAAGGGGTCCTGCAGTACACTATGCTGCCATTGAACATTACTGGTTGGTACCTTGCCTTCACATTACCTGCAGAATACCCATTTCAATCAAAATGAAGGATGATATACATAAACTACATTGACCTCAGAAATTAACCACGGCAATGCCAGTAAATCCCTGATTCCTGTCAAAAGAACCTAGAAAACAAATTCTTCAATATTTCTGACTATTTCCTCAGGAGAAGGAAATGTTACACGGAGCTGGCATTTCATTTCAGCAAAATTGAGAAATTTACCCCCCAACGATGCATATGTTGTACTACCAAGAAACATTAATCCCTATGACCCTAAAAGAACTGATGCGAGAGACATGAAATCGATCCAGCTCCAGGAATAAAAAGGGATTCTTTAAATTAAACGTCATATCATGTCAAAGAAAGGGGGGAAAGCCAAGAAGAGCACCTCGGAAAGCGGGAGGAGAGGGAGCCCATGGCGGCGCGGGGGAACAACCCCCGGATGCGGATGCGGATGCGGATGCGGTGACCGGGTTGGGGCTTGGCCAGTCGGGGAGGCGGCGGCGCTTGGCGGCGGCGTAGGCGGCCTCGATGGCCTGCAGCTCGGCCTCCGCCTCGGCGTCCCAGTAGAAGTCGTCCTCCTCCTCCTCCTCTCCGGCATTGCCGAGGGAGGACGAGGCAGGAGGCTCGCCGGAGTTCATGGCGGTCGCCGGCGAGCGATGGGAAGACGGGGAAAAGGAGGAATTTTTTTTTCCTCGCCTTGTCTACTTTGAAATGAAAGACAGGGAGGAGGAAAGGCTACGCATCTTACATCGTTCGTCGTGCATCGAGATTTGTGCTAGCATTTCTTCCTTTTCTTTTTTTCTTTTTTTTTCTGAAATGGTACTACTCCGCATAGTAATTGTATAATAAGATTTGTTTTTTGTCAGACTATGTCTAAATATATTTTTTTCTTGTAGATGTTGTACAAATCTTTGATTTTCTATAACTCTCAACTAATTAAATCATGAGCAAAATACAAGGACGTTCATAGAGACAAGGGTACGCGCGTTGTGAGCACCTGCGTTTGTACTATGTTTCTCGAAACCAAATTGGTTATTAAACTTGTAAGAGGTTTTATACTGGGTAATGGTTCCATAAACTTGTCAAATGTATATTTACATCCATAAACAATGTATCTTTCCTACCCACTTTTTTCTATTTCTTTTTATTTCTCTTTTTTCATTTTATTTTTCTTCTCAACTCTCACTCATCCTTTCTCTTCCTCCTCATGGTGTGAAGTCAGAGATGGCACATCATCGGTGGTGATGGACAAGGCGAGCGGATCTAGTATATAACTCGAACACCCATTAGTCATAGGGAATAATTAATTATTTGCCACTCGTGGGAATAATTAATTATTTGCCACTCTTACAAGTGGTGATATAGGAATTATCACTGGACCCACATGTCATAAACACATGAGGGCTCATATGTCATAGACAGCGAATGACAAATAATTAATTGCCACATCTTAAAAGCGATAAAAAGTTAAATGTCCCTAGTCATACTGTCGCAGACTTGCAGTGCCAAGGTGCCAAAACCATTGCAGAACACCATCAACGATTTACTTGAGGGAGGAAGGAAATAGTAGAGAGAGAAAACAAAAGAAAAATAGAAAATGATAGGTGGGCTCCACTTAATCACCACTCTCTCCATCCTAAAATATAAATGGTTGAATGAGAATCCTAATACTCCGTTCCATAATATAAGAGATTTTGGAGGGATATGACACTTAGGCATCCCTCCAAAATCCCTTATATTATGGACGGAGGGAGTACTGCAAATTTGGATTAGAAGTTTGTCCATATTATATATGTATGTCACGTCAGTGTGCGCGCGCTATGCGCCTATGCCCCAACGATGATATATTTAGCAAGTTTAGGGATGTAATTGTGCATTTTATAAGTTATAAAATATTGAATAATTGAACCTCTCCAAAAGAATTTTAGTAGTGTTTAATTAAATCGGGGCTCCACACCCTACGTTACCCCGATATGACACACATGTCACGTATCAGTATCTGATACACCGACGAATACATATACATATAAGGATACACTCTGATACATATCCCGTACGTATCCATTTTTTTCTTGATTTGCAAATAAATCAAACGATTATAAATACTTATCTGATACTTCCTTCGTCCCATAAAAAATAAACCAACCAATACGGGATGTAACACATCCTAATACTATAATCGTTTAGGATGTGTTACATCTGTCAGCAGGCGTGGTGCAATGCTTTCACCTCCACTGGACCAGGCACCTTCTCCGCCGCAGGCAGGGTTTTGGGTCTAGGTGGTCTCCCATCCGCCATAGCAGTGCCTCTGCCGGCCGGCAAGCAGAAAAAAAAAACATCATCAGCCAGGGTTCAAAATTCCGGAATGAAATTTTCGAAATTTTGGTCCTATCGGGAACCACCCCCTCCCTAGGTACAATATTATTTCGGTTGATTTTTTTTTAATATTTCATGAATTTTGGCAATATTTGTTCAAATTTAACTGAATTTTATTCAAATTTTCGGAACTAAATTTCGTTCTATCGGCAACTCTATCGGCAACCCCGATACAAATATCCAAAAAGAAAGATTGAACCCTATCGTCGTCAGCCCATCACCACCGAGCTGTTTTCCCTTCATTCCCTTGTGAGTAAATCCCATCTTTAGGCCTTCCATGTTAGATCTGTACCCTTGGTCTGGTCTAGAGTCTGGACATGTGCTATTTGTGTAGTACTATGAACTACATTTTCACTTGTGTTTGGTGAAATCTGTTATTCTACTCTTGTTTCCACTTGGTGAAATCTTCTAGTTGCTGGCTCTATTTGTGTAGCCTACACTTAGAATTGATATTGTAACCATGATGGATCAGTTCACTAGTCTAGTAGTAGTATTTTTTTTCTTGAATAATTGGCAGTCGGCAAGCTTAATTACTTCACCAACTTGATTTATTATAAGAGATTATTATAGTAAGAGATAGTTAGAGGAACTGAACAAAATTAATATATGGAATTGGCAGTACCAATACTAGTATTGTATTGCTATTTCTTTGGAGAGGTTAATTAATTTTCTGTATGTATTTTTAATTTACATGTGTGTGTCTATATATATAAACATATCACCGTATCCTTATTTTTTAAAAAATGGCTTATGTTTGTATCATCATACTACGTATTTGTATCCCCGTATCTCGGTAACATAGGCTCCTCCTAAAGTGGAAGCCAAACTCATGCATTCAGAAAAAAAACTCACACAACCAAAGAAAGGCAGTTGATGAGCAAATATAAACTCTTTGTTGAGTGGTATAAATAAATATAAATCAACATTTGTCAGCCCTAAAAGGCTAAAACTGTGTTACGATGGTTACTTTAAGAGCACATATAAAAAATAATTAAAATTATAAATTTCATTAGTTGTTTTTTTAAAAAAAAACTAGAAAAAATACCCGTACGTTGTAATGGGTGAATTTTATTTTAATCTTATTATTGTTATACGTTTAGCTAGGATGAAATTTACTGTGAGAATTCGCTTGGATATTTTTTTAATTTCTTATACGACTTTTTTTTTATTTCCAAAAACAAACGAACTTAAAATTTAACTCATACATGAATCTGTATCTTCAAAAGCGAACAAACTTAAAAACCGACTCAAATACGAATGACGTACCAAAATACCGGCAAATTTTTTTTCAATTTTTATAATAGTAGAGATAATATGGATATGTATTTCCAAAAAACTAACGAACTTAAAAATCGACTCATACACAGATGACGTACCAAACCACCGACAAAAATATCTTCAATTTTTATAATAGTAGATAAATGTTCTCTACGCAGTACCACTAAGACTGAGTTCATTTAAGCATATATCTATTTGTAGAAATATCATTAGTACATTAACTACGTATTAAATATTATAAATTTGTGTATATATATATATATATATAAAGTTTCTTTTTAAAAAAACAATTTAACCGTCGGGGAGATTTTTTTTAACAATAAAGTTGCTGCAGCTATTTCCTGTTTACAACTGGGCCAAAGAGATTATACCGTTAAACAGTATAGAAAACATGCCGTTTAATGTAATCCGTAATGCGTAAAAAAAAAGACAAATACTCAATAAATAAAACCCCCCCAAAAAAAGAGAAGAAAACTAGCCCAGACCCCTCCTCACACCAGGCGACTCCCCGTCGCCGCCGCCGCATCGCCGCCTCCGCATCGCCGCCGTCTCGGAGCGTCTCCTCAGCAACCCACCGTTGAGGCTCCAGGTAGGTATGGCCCCGGTTCAATTCTTGTGCACGTATTTTGCCCAAATCCATCGTTCAGTCCAAGATTTGAGATAGCACTGTCGCCATAGCAGGTTCTTGGCTGGGAATAATCGAGCCCCTTCATCTGTAGAAGCAGTAGTTACATTGCAAAATCACACTAAACGTATTAGGGTATTCGGCTTAATTAATACTACTACCCAGTGAACTTTGGTTTGTCTGCTCATGGGGAACATCTAAAATCAAACGAATTTTGTCTTCATGTCACTTGTCCCATATTTACAACCTTAATAATGGATTGGATTGCTCAGTTTTAAGGTTTTTTTATTTAACCGCGCACAAATTCCTGCTTTCGCCGCTGTTTATTAACATGTTTTTACTTGGCAGATGAAGGAACCTTCCGATCCGCCCATGTCAGCGTTATCGCACACAGAAGGTGATTCTTCCGGCTTCACAAGAAACAACGATAGGAATGATGATGCAGTTGGTGGGGAAGATTCGACTTCTTCATATCAGCCATGTATGTGCCATCGTAATTAGTTTCCAAAACTTTTTGATAGTAATAATTTCTGAATAGCTCAGACAGTCAATTTGTGTTCTACTTCTACTCTGTGGACAATTTCTTTCTCATTCTGCAGGTAACAGTATGAAATGCAAAGATGGTACCCAAATTATGTCTCTCGCAAATGAGGATGTATCAAACCTGGCATCGGTTTGTTCTTTGATTACTCATCCTCTTTTTATACAACACAATCTCTTCAATTAATCTGCTATCGGTGACCAGATTACCTGAAGTGTTATATATCTTTCTAAACTATAAATACTTTGGAGCAGTTAAGTAAAGAAACTAATAGGACCCAAGAGATGTTGTACTAATGGCGCGATTGGTTTATAAATAAATCTGTAGTTAGATTTCTGGTTGTACCATCACTCCATCAGAAATAGGATCATGTGTACTTGACTAAGATAGCACAGCGAACAAAATCGTTGTTCAGTAATTATGTGCTAAGACAAGTATGAGTTAATTCAAACATTAAATCTGTGGATAGCATGCCCTAGATCCAAACATAGCAATTTTGTTTAACAACATACAAACAACTCTTCCCTTTCTCAGGATTGTCAAGAGCCGCCTTCAGAATCCAACCATGCTATTTCCCATGGGTCAAATACAGATTCTAAGGAAGAAATGTCATCGGGAAGTGGGTATCGTAGGCAGCAGTCTTGCTTTTCTTCATCAACCTGTTCTTGGAGAAGTTCTTCTGAAGTAGAATCAGTGTCAAGTACTCCAGACGGGTCAGGAGATGTAGTTGGGAACATGAGCGTCAGAAGCAAAACCTTTGAGCGAAGGCCAGATCACATTGCTTCATATCCTTCTGCTAGTCCTGACATAAGAAGGTTGTATGCAGCAGAAGGTAAAGCTGATTTTACCTTAGATTATCATTCAGAAGAACGCTGGTCCAGAAGATCCAATCAATCTACTGCCTTTCGAACCAGCAATGGTCAATCTATTGAACACCACAGTGAGGTATGGTTGTGGATCCCTTTGACTACACAATAAATTTTGTCTATATATACAGTTTCTGTATTTGGCATGTCTATTAAACGATTAAAGACTGTATATGGGTGTTTACTAATTTTAGTTTTATCATCAAAACAGATAGTTGACATACCTAGACAGGCCAATTCCATGGATGAGACTACTTCCTCTTCAAGTCAATGGAGTTTTGACAATTGGGGACCTTCACTGCCAAGAGGGATGCAGTATGGTGATGAGATCCCTTCTCTGTCTAGTCAGAACTATGGTGCTAGAATCCCCTCGCTTTCAAGTAGACAAAGTTATGGTGATGAGATTCCGTCACTATCTCGCAATTGTAACTACGCGAGTAGACAAAGTTATGGTGATGAGATTCCATCGCTTTCTTCTCGCCATTGTAACTCGTTCTCAAGTAGACAAAGTTATGGTGATGAGATTCCATCACTTTCTCGCCATTGTAACGCACGCTCAAGTAGACAAAATTACGGTGATGAGATTCCATCGCTGTCTAACTCTGACTATCAGTGCTACCAAGATAGGATACCTTTGCATCATCGTCAATGGTGCCATGATGCTGAGGCACATCCACAGCTAAACTACGGGCGAGGTGCTTCTCATGGCAATCGTTACTCAAGAGACAGTTTTGTCAGTAGTATTGCTACTAATCAGAGGTTCAAGATGGGCACAGGCAAACATACTGTCACAAGATCTGATCATCATAGGACTATTAAGAACGATAATGTATGCAAACATTCTGATGATACATTGGAGCAAGTTCGTGGTCCCCGTGCAAACAAATTGGAAAATGCAACAAGATCCAAGATACAGGAAGATATCAGAAGTCCTTTGGTCCGTAGGGATCAGTTTAACAGACCAGACTTTATAGTTGAGTATGAACAAGCCAAGTTCTTTATGATAAAGTCATATAGTGAAGATGATATTCATAAAGGTATCAAATACAATGTTTGGGCAAGTACACCACATGGGAACAATAAGCTGGATGCAGCTTTTCGTGAAGCTCAGATTTTAATTAAGGAAAAGGGCAAAAAGTGCCCTGTCTTCCTATTCTTTTCGGTTAGTGATCAAATTCTATTCTTGTTATATGGCCCTTTATTTTCATGGTTTAGTATTTTAAGCCCTTAAGGGCATGTGTCCTCATTTTCTTGCATGTAATCCAAATGGTTATGAAACAATTATGACAGCATAGTTACATAGATAGTGTAATCTATCACTCTACAACCTACACGTGGAAAAAAAAAATACATTACATACAAGAAACAAGAGCACGTGCTGGTACGCTTAAAACCCATCTCCAATAATGGATGTTTGAGCAAAATAGTTGACATAACGGCAAGTTTCTATTATGAGATTGAACTGCTGTTTACTAGCACGTTTTTGACTTTTCTGTCTTTCTAAATATTTGTTTTCTTTATTAGTATATTCGTTGGGTTGATTATTTCATCTGTATCGTGTGATCTCCTTAAAAGGCAATTTTACTTGAAATTACATTGCAGATACATCTGCCATTAAATTTTGTGATGAATTTCTCCAGAAGAGAGAGACTTAATCCACCACATATACTTTGTGCTGCTGAAAGTTTGAATTACACACCTTTTGCGCTGGATGGTACTATGGCTATTTTATATCATGCATCCCTTCATCCCCTGGCAAAATTTCAAGATAGTTGCTTCTTTGTGTTCCCTATTTCAGGTTAATTCCAGTGGCCAGTTTGTAGGATTGGCTGAGATATTAGGCCCTGTTGATTTCAAGAAGACCATGGACTTTTGGAAACTAGATAGATGGAATGGCTTTTTCCCTGTAACCTGGCACATTATAAAGGACATTCCGAATAGGCTCTTCAAACATATAACTCTTGAAAATAATGACAACAGAATTGTTACTTTCAGCAGGGACACTCAGGAGGTACCATGCATCCACTTCTTTGTTTTTTCGTGCTGAAAAATTCCATCACGTATGGTTGTTTCATTTAGAAAATGGATGGTTTCCCCTATTTTGGTACATAGCACATCACTTCAAGATAAGTTTATTCTGTAATAAATTCCATGGTAGCAGGTGTACTGAGATTCCTCCTGTGAACAAAGGCGGTGCTATCTGATAATGAATGCTATATCTCACATCATTTATCCGTGCTCTCTTTAATATGTTTTCATATGACTTAATTTTGTAATTTCTTAGTTTCTAAACCTTTTTGATCTGATATCCTTTTTCACGTTATGTAGATTGGCCTACTCCAGGGTCTGAAAATGTTGAAAATTTTCAAGGATTATGACCAGGAAACGTCACTTCTGGACGATTTTAATTTTTATGAAGAAAAGGAAAGTGCACGATGTGCCAAAAAGGGAATAAATGCAGAGTCGACACATGAAGCTAGACTATTGTTTTTTGGAACAGGAGCTAGACACTCTGATGACTTCAAATCAATGGTATGTGCATTTTTATTTAAAGCTGTGTGATATCAACTAAGGTTCCGTTTGACATTGAGGTGGATTATGATAATTTTATTTAGTGTGACTGCTTCTAGTAGTTTTGGCATTTGGTAGACTGTTTTTTCTTTTAATTTAAGTAGCAGAAGCAATTGTGGGAGACATGACAGTTGCTTAACATATTTTCTCTAACTTTACATTGATTTGTAAGACGACTACAATGACTATAAATGTACATCTCTACAGCAACTTAAAAACCAAGCACAATTAGCATGGCATAGCATAGCAACCATAAACTGAGCCTAAGTAATATCTTTTAATAATCGCGGCATGTAAAGAGGACAGTCAATCTTATTGTGTAGCTGCTTCTGATGGAAATTTTCCTGGTTCCCGAGTGTGTCTGTTTTGGTCTATATGTCCAAATTCGAGCTGTTTTCTACGCAGTCATCGGAATACATGAGTTTGTGATAGCTCAGTATTCAGAAAACCAAACAAATTACAGATGATACAAAAAGAAGGCAAAAACCTAAGAGGATAAGTCTGGCACTCGGTTACGGCACAAGTTCACGGTTATCACCGAGTTTCAATAACCACTCTTGAAAATAATTAAAAATATAGAAAGCAGACTAAAAAATGGCATGCTTGATTTTTTTTTCTATTTTTCTGGGGAATCCCCAGTTATGACACAAGGTGCAGGGCTTGGCTCAGTAATGCAAACATGAACACCGATAGTGTGTAGCTGCTGTTATTATATTGACCTTTTTTTTGGAGAGCTGTGCATCATTATATTGACATATTTCTGATGATGTTTATTTTCATTTGTAGGAAAATTTAGAGGCAAGCATGGAGAATACAATTTTATATTAATCCAGATCGTTATGCCGTGCAATTGAAATAAGAAGCTTGATTGGTCAGTGAAGAAGTTGTAGTCTTGGCACTTGCAAAACCATTTTTGGTCCAGCAAGGAAAGGCAAGATTAATTGGGTGTTTGTATAGTGCATATGTTCCCTAAAGTATTTAACTGGTTGCAAACTTACATGGACTAGTTTATCTGTATTATTAAGTTGTACTACTTGATTACTTGTAAGTGGTTGATGGTTTCTTCCTTTCTTTTGTTGCCAATAACGATTAATCAGCTGGTTGTTTGTCACTGCGTGTTCAATGCTTGGTAGCGCTACAGTTAAGGCAGAATATCTAAATTGATAATCAGATAATCATCAGCAAACATTGGCAACAATCCTCCGGTGATAACACCCATTCGTGCACTGTTTTTCTTGTTTTTCCTCGAAAAATTTAACGCGTGATAGGCTATTTTGCAAAAAATAACTCATCGTGTGTGTATAGAAGTCTGTCATAGATCCTCACACATCTGACGACTCGTGCTCTTTCTTCTAAAAAGACCTTGTATTTTATAAACAAATATAATACAAAGAAGAGAAGGATTAGTGTTGTATAAATATGGAAACTAATTCTTCTAAAGGTTGCAGCAACAGGGTATATCAACTTCAAAACAGTAAAAAATAGGGATGCTCTTATCAGTGGAGTTGATTCATTCTTGCTCAATCAAATGAAGTAAATACACCACATGTGCATTTGATGAGGAGCATTTCAGTCGGTTTGTCAAACGCGCACAACCATTTGGACGAAATTTGATTCTAAAATTCCCATTGAACAAAGATATCAAAGTAGAACAGCAGCAACACGAACAAATTCGGTACAATGTATTTGCAGATACTCTATACAACAAATGGCCAAACTGCTCACGAGGCAGCCCTGCTTATGATGCATCTCCACAACACCAACAGAGCTTAAGAGCATTTTTGGTTGAGCAAGTGTCAAGCCCTAAGCATGCCAATTTCAGCTATTCTCTACATCATATTACAGAAGGCTTTGTGAACACAACACGGATGGAATGCACCTAGATAATCCAATTAACCCATTTGCCTCGGGTCTTCTACTGCAGGGATGAACACAATATGTTGCCATTCAAAGCAGCAGACCACCTGCAACTCCACTAGTCCACTGACATTTTTTTAGGATCATGCAAGGAATCATCAACGATTCATGGTGATCGAATTTCACAACGAGCAACGAAGGTTTATTACCCAGGTGGTGCATTAGGATCGCTCCTCCGACCTTGATCTTACAAATCTCCGGCGACTCCTTGGTCTTTGAACATCTTCATCTAGGTTTTCCTCCTCATCGTCCTCGTCCTCGTCTTCATATTGGAGACCTAGTAAGTTCTCTCCCCATAAATAACGGCGCCTCTGCCTTCTCAGGCCCCTCGATGAGCCTCTTATCTCATCTCCTGATCTCATCGGACTACTACTGATCATATGGAACAGAAAGAATGTTGTCAACAAAGATCCACTTGGTTCATTTGGCATGCCTCCTTCCTGGTCAGGTGAAAACATGTCACCCCCTTCAACAACATAATCACCAAACACAACTGCTCCGGGCATAGCCGACCTGATTGCACTTAGTATGTCACCATATTCACGCTGGTGCTCCAGGCGGTGCCATGCACGGCGTCTTGATGGATCCACATCAGCAGGCCTTGTTGTGGGATGGACTCTCCGGGCATGTCTACGGAGCTCCCTGTAGTTGCCAGAAAATGCACATGTTTCCCGCGAGCAAGATCTCGACTTCTCATCCAAATATTCTCTGGCCTCTTTGATGATCTTCCAGCCTTTGACAGTGCCCCTACATAATGGGCATGCCAATTGGTTCAAGCGTGTCAGTTCACTTGACTCCACAGTGCTACTGCTCTCTCTTTGCTGAGCTTCCAAAGTCAAATCTAGATCTTGATTATAGCTATTTTCTCCCTGCTGTCCAGATAGGCCAGCAGAGCTTTGGATAGCATCTCGATGATTGAAAATTTCATGGGATTCAGATATGCCTGTTTGGATTTCTCCAGTGGGATCAAAATGAGATCTCTGGGGTACATTTTGGCTACTTATGTCCCTAGGCAACGATGAACTTTGCTGTGACGAACCGTCATTGTGGTCTACTTTCATTTTCTTGAACCTGTCTAGGCAATTCGAATGTCTATAGCTTGTATCGCATATATAGGATCTGCATCCTTTGTCATGGGAACTGCACAGCAGAAGAACAGCATTGTGGGGATGATCCATGCAAATTGGGCACAATGCATCGTCCCATTCCTTGTGCAGGGCAGCAATATTTGCATCTGCAGTTGGCATCTTGAACAAACTGCTCTCTGCATTTGGCATCTTCAATAAGCTTGTTCAAGGATCACTGAAAAGTAACAGCAAGTTAAAACTAGCATTGAGTGCACATATCTAACAATTGCCGCATCTGCATTCAGCATTGGGACTATAATTATATGATGCATACAGTTTGCTATAAGAAAATGCCCATACGATGCAAGCAGACAAATGTAGAGGCTAACAAACTTCAACAGTTTTATACATAAGAAGCAGCTTTTCACCTTCAATCAACGCAGCCTCAAATTTCTAATAAAATGCATGGGTTCAGATTTCAATTAAGACCATTACTTTGCATATATTGAATCAACAGCTATTAAGTTGATTTCACACATCCAATCAACAGTGAGTGTGCTGACGGCACAAAAAAAAAACAGTGAGTGTGCTGCGGTCAGAGGGTTAAAAGTAACTAAGCATAAATGATGAACTTATACGAGAGAGACAAGATATCTTAATGTATCTTATTCCTTCTTAAGTCCAAGACCTATGCTTAGTGGCTCCCAGCATACATGCATAAATTCCCAATGTTTTAACTTTTAACATGTTTCCTAGTTGCCGATGAGTTATTTGCTATATATGATAGCATAGCTTTCCAATCTGTTGATGGTTGGTAATACACATGTCATTCAGCTGAACTATCTAAACAATTTGGGATCCCAAATAAACAATGTTAAACCAAACATAGAGTTGAGAAAAATAAGATGCATCAATGAGTATGTTTGCACAAGGGACATCATTCATATCTTAATATAATGTTAAAAAAGATGAACAAGTTACCTGAAACCTGCAATACAGTTCAACTTGTTGGAGCTGCCACGCGACGCCAGCGAGCGCAATCCTGGGATTTCCTCAAGCCCTTCATGAAGACACACACATCCAATCAGAAATGCAGTGCTATAAGTACTGAATCCAGGGGCGGATCTAACATGGGAACATGGAGGGTTCAGTTGAACCCCCCAATCCTTTTGGGAGCAAACAAAGTGCTATTAGTATTAAGATTTTAAGGCAAATAATTTCTAGAACAGAAGCTAGGGTTAATCCGCAAGCAGATTCGAGAAAAAAAATACATGGAAAAAAAAAGGACGCGTGTGACGGATCGGATGGATCCTCACCAGCGGCGGGGAGCAGCAGCAGGGCGACGAACGACTGCGGCGCTGCTCTGCTCTACTCGCGGGATGGATGGGGATCGGCGATGGCGGCGAACTCGCGAGGAGTCGGAGTCCACGGCGAGCGGACGGGGGATTTCCTCAATCTTTTCTTCTTAGGCACAAATTACGCAGGGATATGGGATACCTTTCCTAACTTTTTTATACTTTCTTTTTTATACTTTCATTCAACTAATATGTTTTTTAATCGAATATATAATTAATTTCTTTCCTAATTCATGAGCATGAAAAATGTATATTAATGTTCTAAGATTTCAAATTATAGTATTAATATATGGAATTTACGATATAAGATTTGAATTTTTTTTATTATTGAAAAATGTGGCACCACATACAATAGTCCCGGATTAATATTACCCTAATTAAGTACCATGTAAATATATTGTCATTGAAAATAAAATATGCCATTGCAATTCATCGATTTATAAAGATGATATTATAATTTTATAACTATTTAATATAAGCCACTAATTAATCCTTCAGTGCATTAAAAAAATATATTCTTTTGTTATTTGTCCTCTTTCCCTCTTTTCCTTCCCCTTCCCTCCTCTTTCCTTTCGAAAATGCTTCATATCAACCATCCGGGCGGAGCTTGTGCACCGGATGCCTTTCTTCCCATTTCATCTTCCTCTACCTCATCCCCTTTATCTGATTTTATGATTCGCGTTGTTTTAGAGGATCCAATCTCGTGGAAGCCCAAACTCATTGTTGCCACCGCTGCGAGGAGGAGGTGTGCAGGGAAGTGGAAAGCGTCGTCTTTAGGGAAGGTCCCGCGCTTGCCGGAGCCCTAACTCGCCAGCTGTGGAGCCACGAGGAGGAGCTTGCGGCTAGGAGTCTTGGGTAGCAGCGGCGTCGGAGAGGGCCTCGAGCTCCTTGGTAGCGGCTGCGGCCCCATGAGGAGGCTTTGTATGGAGTGGAGCAGAAGGCACTGTTGCTAGAGAGGGCTCCGAGCTCGCCGGCAGCAGTGGAGGCACACAAGGAGGAGGCTTTGTGGATGTGGCGCCGCAAGGAGGCTTCGTGCAAGGTTGAGTGGTAAGCGTTGTCGCCAGAGAGAGCTCCAAGCTCGCCGAAAGTGGCAACGCCACTGTGAGGAGGTTGCACATAAGGCGGAGCAAGACGCCATTGGCCTACATTGGTGGAGTTATTTCTTTTGTTGCATTTGGTTGTCTTAGAGTGTTTCACTCTGTTTTATCGGCCTATGTCTTCTTTGATGTTGCACATACAGGGTCTGATGTTGCAATTAGCCTTTTCTGATGTTATATTTGGTTGAAACAATTCTTTAATCTTTACCAAGCAATGAAACATGTAAAACATTTATTTATTGAAACAAATTTTACTGAGTAGTGAAACATCTGAAACAACTTTTTTATATACAGTGAAACATCGTTCGGAGTTTTGCCAAGGATCAGACGTCCGATCCCTAGTCTCCTCCCTCTCCTTCCCACTTTTCCTTCTCCCTCCCTCCTCCCTCCTCTTTTTCTACCGGTGGCTTCGCTCGCTCCAGTGGCTCCTCCCCATCTCTACTTACTTAGGCAGCATCAAATGTGTGAGGAGGTGACCGACAGTTCTTCTCTTTTCCTCTCCCCTCTCCTCTCACTTCGAGCAGCAACCATGATCAGGCTGGTTGGAACAAATCAGCGACCTCACCACCGCAGTTGGCCTCATACATTTTCATTCCCAACCTCTCCACCATCGGATCCGGCAACCTTAGCCATCTCCGTGCCCTACCTCGCCTCCGCCGAACTTGACGTCGGCGACATTGGTAGCATGGCAAGGCGAGGTAATGACGACAACTACAAGGGCACGTTGGGCACAATCACGGGGGTTCGCGACATTCTTGGCTGAGCATGCAGTCAAAGCAGTAGCAGAAGCCACCACTGTGGTGTTTCCCGTCCTCAAACTCACCTCCATCCCCATCCCCATGGACGCTCGCCGCGGCAAGCTAGCGCACTAGCTAGAGTTTCGTCAATACATGTTTTTTGGATCCCGACGGTTTGACCGGAGGCGAGCATGCAGTCAGACCGGCTACGCCGAGGACTTCATCAGGTTAGAGGGTAAATTTTTATTTCCGCTAAAAGTTTATGTTTTCGGTGTTCCTACCATTCGTCCCTTTCTGGTAGGTTTGGTTCTTGTATTTCGATCCTACAGCCCCTACCATCATCTACGAGAGTTCGGGCAATTGTGTTAGTGCATGACAATCTCAGGTGTGTTGGCATGGCGTAGGACCGGCGGCGGAGGCGTCTGCTACTCCGGCTGGGGCGTGTCGGCGGCGAGGCCGGCGCGTGTGGGTGGCGGTGGCTGACATGTGCGGGCAGGAGGCTGGCGCATGCGTGGCGGCGCGCGTCCCCCTCTCGGCGGTCCGGTGGGGCTGTCGTCGGCGGGGCGCGTCGGCAACTCCGGTGCCTCCTCCGTGGCATCCGCCCCCTCCTCCACACCCCCACCTCTGTTGCCACCTCCCTCCAAGTTGTCTAGTTGCTCTGTTGCTCTGCTCGCCCCAACTCTTCTCTGTGTTGGTGGCAAAGTTGGAAGCGATCGTCGCAGTTGCAAGAGGTGCTCCCGCGAAGCCCAACGATTCTGGGTGGAGATGCCTCCGCCTCGATCTCGTCGGAACATGGAAGACTCCGATGTCTCTGTTAACCTGGCTTCATCTTTCAGTTCCTCTTCCGGCGAGGCAAACCTCCTCACCTTCCTTGATGCTCCTCCCTTCTGTTGGCCGGTCTGCTTCCAGACCATGGTCGTGGAGTCTTTAGGTGGTTGAGGAGTTGTGTTCGTCCATGAAGTTGGTCCAGCTTGTTTGTTGTTCGGGCTCTTTGGCCTCGCTTGTGCTTCAAGTGCCCTGTGTCTTAGTGAACCGGTCGTAGTGACGAGTATGGAGAGGGCTTCTTGGCCCTCTGTTGTGCTAGAGCTTTAGTGCTTAGGCGGAGTTGGAGCTGCTGTATCGGGTTTAGCTGTTGAGCTGGGCAACGATAACACTTAGCACTCTCGCTCTAGCTGTTGGAGGTCCTGCACCTTTCTTGGGAGTCTCGGGCGAAAGCCCTACCTGGTTTTCCAGGTTCGGTGACATCGACACCTACGGGTGCCGTATCCTCCTTGGAGGTGTCGTCTTGTTTGACTCTCTTTTCCTTTGGGTGAAAACCTAGTCCTTTTTTGGACGGGCGTTAGCAGCGGCTTCTGTCGTTGGTTCCCTCCTTGGAGGCTTCGCCTTAAAGGTCTTGCTCCTTCCTCGGTCACTTCTATGGTTCATAGTTGTTTTGCCACAGGCTTTTCACTTTGTCTTCTGTGTGAGGTTTTGTCGGTTTCCCTATAGCAAAACTGTGCAGTTGTATGGTTTTCGGGCCCGGTTTTCCTTATAAACAGGGTCAATTCTCTTCTTCTATAAATTTTGGTAGAACTCCTACCATCGTTTTCTTCAAAAAAAAAGTTGTTTCTCTTCTCTCTCACTGATGGGGTGAAAAAAAGGGTACATTCATACCGTTAGGAAGACAAATGATGAATGAGGGAACACAAACGTAGGTTTTGTCTTAGTTCAAGTAGCAACAATAAATCAGAAGCACCATGCACTTGCAACATAACAATTCCAAGTTCCAACTTAGTTCTCAACTTCACATGACAAGTCACAAACTATGACAGTGCATCAAGCAATAGCAACTAGCAAATAACCAAATAGAAGTTCTAGGCTTGACGAACAACCCACCTTTAGTCCTTCCTCTTCACTTCTTGGCAACATGAAACATATTTGTGGGCGGCGCGGTTTGGTGTGTGTGAGGATGCAAGGAGGCAAAGGTGGTGCACTGTGTGTCGGGCTAGAGGTGGAGGTGGCGGACACCAGGCTACAGTGTGGTAGGCTAGAGGTAGAGGTGGAGCAGCGTTGGTGATGGAGACGGAGGTCTAAGGGTGGGATGCACGATTGTGCAATAGGGATAATTTTTAGTCCAACGTTCTTTTAGAAGACATAATACTTCCCATATTGTAGGGGTGGATCTCTAAAGATACGGGAGTTCTCCTCCAAGCCATATGCATGACTTTCATCAAATATGGTTTTCCACAAAATTCTATAGTACTTAATACACGATTAAACATGCGCCAGTGCCTATTTTCTGAGCCGCCAATAGCTACAGCCGCACAACTAATTCAAACCGAGTATAGGTAATCGTTATTCCAATGCTCTTTCATATTGATATACATCCTTCATAAAATGTATCTTCCGTGTAGCTCAATTTGAATTTAGAGTCCAAGAAGATATCTCATCCTTAAATCACTCATAACCAAAGTGTACAAATAACAATTAAAACCTTATACTATAATGAAACACTTGGATGAAAAATCGAGACTTCAAAAGAAAACAAAAGGAAAGAGCCGATTTTGAGTTAACAATACACGAAAATAAACAACGTATAAGAACAAGTACTAAACCGTATCCGTTACCGTTCAATGTAAGTTTATCAGAAACAATATCATTAGATATTAAATATAGTTCAACATATTCCCTAAAATAAAAAAGAGTAAATCGCTCTCCCGATACATGAACTTGTGATGTGGGTGCAAATAGGTACAACAACTTGTAAAGTGCTCATTCAAGTACAATAACTTGCATAGCTCGTGCGAACCTAGTACAAAACAACACACATGCAAAAAATGATATAATGTGTAGTACCATAATGAAACATATGCATGCTGGCAATTGTTTGTAGTTGTGCATACATGAGCACATTAACTTGCTTTTAGTTTTGCAGAATGTAGCATTCAACAATAATAATTATGATGCAATGTGATATGCCCCAGCCTCCGTCACATGATGATGAGCACATCCCAGCTATACTTGACGTAAACAAGGGTGATGGTTTACGTCATACATCACATGAAGAAAATGAAGATGACATAAACCAAGTGATGGATTACGTCTCAGCAAGAACGATCAAGCATATCATGTCCAATTACGCGCAACCGTGCTAGGAAAATACAACAAGAGGTGAACTCGCTCTTTGCTCAACTTAATCCAAATTTTAGTGAGAATTTTATACTACCTAAATGCTCTACATTTGTATTGCTAAGGTTTACGCCCGAGAACATTATCACTACGCCAAGAAGGATAGGTTACGTTGAGGACAACAAGGGTTACGTCGAGGAGGAATCCGCCCATGCTCAACCAGTAGCTATGTACGCCAACAAGAAGATGGTTTACGGCTTTACGCTGCAAAGGCTCAACTTCCAAGGCTCGTGCGACCCAACCAGTCAACTTTCTCCGTGCTTAATATATATGGTTGGAAAGATAATTAAGTCTAGTTTCACCTCTAACAAACGGCTCATAATTTCAACTTCCCAATAAGGAGTTATGGACAAATCATTGAGAACTGCTCAGAAGCCAAACAGACGCGTGAGTCCTCTCGGGAATTCACTTATTGTATAAGTGACCTTTGAGCTAGCCTATGTCCTGGACTCCTGTAAACTCCCAAGACCTTTCATTCCTATCTAGGAGGATTGTTCCTAGTATAAATATCCCCTATGTTTTATCATTTAGAGGACTTTTTGACAATGAGAATATGAACCCCTTTGTTTAGCTGTGTGCTAGCAAATTCAGAGAGAGATCTCTATCCCTTTGCTTTTGTGATTTCCTTGTGAGATTACAGAAGCGGCGATCGACGCCCTCCAATTGGTGCTTCTGGTCCTTTTGAGAATTTTTTCCTCGATTGATTCCAAGTTGTGTTGGTTAGTAACTTAGAGTGTGGTTGGGCGAACCCTCTATTCAGGTTGCCGTAATAGAGACGGTGGTTGGCTTCAAGCACGATCGTTAGGTTGCACTGTTATCTTGGCTGCTTGCAGCCAGTTATTTTGGTCTCTTTGAGGCTAGTTATCGGTTCTTGATCCTACGCCGTGAAGATCGGGACATCACCCCTACCGGGATCGTATAGCAATGTCTTGTAGGTTGCTTGAACTATAGAGTGTGGATTTTGTTTTTCAAAACAAAACAACTGCTATGCAATTTATTTTTCAAAACAAAGCAACTGCTAACTCGCAAAGGTGTCACCAAGTTGCCCCACGTTAGATCAATTTCGCTCGCATGGATTGTTTTGGTCCATGTTCATATAAAGTTATAAACTAGTCAAGTTACTGTACCAAAACAAGCAATTTACATACTTTAACATATTTCCTGATGAAACCAGATAAGAATACTTTATGACATAACAATTTGATAAAACTTAAAAATCAACTCTCAACCATAAGAGAAGATCGAATTTTCATGAGGAAAAGTAAGAGATAGATGAATCGTAAGATTTGGAATCAAAAGGCGAATCCGTGCAACGCGTGACAGCAGCAGAAGAGTAGCCCTACTATTCGCTTCCTCCCTACGAGCACGACCCACCCACGTCATCATCCATCCCCCTTCTTCTTCTTCTTCTTCTAGGCTTCTTCTACTTCTAACCCCATCTCCATCTCCATCTCCCTCGCCTCCCTCCTCGCCGCGCGCCTCCGCCTCCGCCCCCATCTCGCCGGAGCGCCGCCGCGGTCCGATCCCGGTAAGCCCCCCCCACCTCGCCCCCCTCTCCTACTACCCTGCGTGTGTTCAGATCCGCCCGAGGAAGCGGGATCAGATCGCGGATCAAGGGAGTACAGAAAAAAAAAGCCTGATCCCTTCCTCAATTCGCCGCGCTGCAGGTGCCCGACGATGCAGCCGCCGATGGGGAACGACAGGCCGCCGCAGGGGGTGCCCGGGAGGCCCGTCTCCGCCTTCGTGCCCGGCGCCGCCACCGCCGCCCCGCCGCCCTCGTCGTTCGGCGCTGCTTCCGCCCCGCGCGCGCCGTTCGTGCCGCCCCCGCAGGCTGCTGCGTCCCCCGCGGCGCCGTTCGCGGCCGCGCCACCTGCGGCAATCGCTGGGTACAGGGGTCCACACGCCTCCCCAGCGCCCCTTCGGCGCTGGACCGCCCCAGCAGGGCCCCTTCGCCGCCGCGGCACCACCCCCGCAGGCCCCTTCACCAGTGCACCGTCCTCTCAGGGTCCCTTCGCCGCAGCGCCGCAGCCACCGTCTCAGGGCCCCTTTGGCACCGCGCCGCCGCCGTCTCAGGGCCCATTCGGCACCGCGCCGCCGCCGTCTCAGGGCCCATTCGGCACCGCGCCACCGCCGTCTCAGGGCCCCTTTGCCGCCAGCGTGCCGCCGTCTCAGGGCCCTTTTGCATCCGCACAGCCGCCTTTTCGCCCTCCGCCTTCGCTCGTGCAGTCACCTACAGCGAGTGGTATGGCTCCACCCTCGGCGTATGTGAGGCCACCACCGCCAGTACAATCACAGCCCCCGCCCATGCAAGGTTTTTACGGTGGTCCGCCTCCTGCAAACCAACAGTTCCCGATGTCACGACCAACATTTCAGCAGCCAGTGCAGACCATGCCGCCCCCTCCTATGGCGGGTTTTGGCAATCAGGCGGCATATGCGACTGGTGGGCCTCCTACAGGGGGCACCCTCCAGAGCTTAGTGGAGGACTTCCAGTCGCTCTCGGTTAGTTCTGCACCAGGATCGCTTGATCCTGGTGTCGACGTCAAAGGGCTGCCAAGGCCATTGGATGGTGACGAGGAACCAACTAAGGTTTTGGAGGCATATCCATTGAACTGCCACCCGAGGTACTTCCGGCTGACAACCCATGCAATTCCAGCATCCCAGTCGTTGGTCTCAAGGTGGCATCTGCCTCTTGGGGCTGTGGTACATCCTCTCGCAGAATCACCTGATGGGGTAATGACTTTTAGGCACTTTATTTATCTTTTACCCTCTTTGTCAAAGAATTGTTCTGACATTCATGTTTCTCATCACTCAGGAGGTTCCGGTTATCAACTTTGGGTCAGCTGGTGTCATCCGTTGCCGAAGATGTAGAACATATATAAACCCTTACGCAACATTCGCGGATGCTGGAAGGAAATGGCGCTGCAATCTTTGCACGCTGCTCAATGATGGTAATTATTTTTTGGTCTTTAAGCTCAATAATTCAATGTGTACTGAATATTTGAATTTCCGATAGAGAGTACATCGGCACACAGATATTTGTCTATTCTGCTGACCATTTCTCTAGCTCTAGCAACATATGTATCCTACAATAAAAGATGAATTTGTAGTTATGTTCAACTAACTATGTGTTTGGCTGTGCTGTTTCAAACCAAAGTATTCTTCAATAGTTCAAATTACATTTTATCAATACTGCAAAAGTAAGATAATTTGTCCCATTAATAAAAATATTTTGATAGGGAATTAGTTGATGATTGAATCATATCATAATGTTGTGGTGCTTTTCTAAAATGGGAAAAAAGTTGGGTGTGAAACTTTTTATGTTACAGTTGAACTTTAGAATGTATGGAAGTATTCATTAGGGTAGCAGTAGCGCTCTTTCAAAAATCTGATGCATGTACCCCTCTTTCCTAAGGGGTGCTGTAATGGAAGACCAAACTCTTCAAATCAATGCATTGAATACAAACAATTTCATATCGAAATCAAAGCGGAAAATTTATAAGGAATGTTTCTGTGTTTGTTAGAAACCCAGCATTTTCCTTTCTCTTCCTGACCTTGAAACTGGCTAGTCTTTTTTATGAACTCTTATCCAAAGTCTCTCATCAGCAGAAGGAAGTTCCACTGGATTGAAAGGAGCAATTTAGTTTTCTTATAGTCAGTGGCATCTTGTGTATGGATAGTGCTTTATATGACCTCTTATCCAAAATATAACACTTCGATGGTAACACCCATGACATATATATGTAAGTTGACAATATCGAAAGTAAATGCGTACAGCAAGAATGGAAAGCATCTAAGATTTTGGATGTCTTAAGAAGCTTGGTTTGATTTCGCATATGTAGTTATATTTGGAGTTGCGAGATCCGGCCCATATAATTCCATAAAAGGCTCTTCCAGAAGCTGCTTTTTAAAATTTATTTCTTTAATTAGGATATTCAAGTTATTTATACCTTTGCTGTTTTCATACAGTGTAGTTAACAATCCAAGTAAGCTTATTGCTGCTGGATCAAATTTCTCTAGTATTTTGAGAATTATCGCATTTGGAATGAGTATGTACCAGCATATCCTATTTATTAACTGGAATAGTATGGCACTGAAGAAATATATCAATTTACCCCCATCCCATATGTATCCGTTTTGGACTAAGATGCTAGTTAGGTTGTTACTAGAGATGAAAAGTCACAAGTGCCATGACAGGAAAACATAGTAAAGAAATGCTTGGCTTCTTTAGGCATAAAATACATGTTGTAGTTACGTGACTCTTCTTCTTTAGGCATTGCATATAGCTCCTATTCTAATATGGAATTTGTTATCATAATAACTCACTCGTAAAATTCATAAGCGGCTGTAAACAAAAAGAGAGAGACTAAATCCTTAAGCTTAAATGTCCTGTTCAATCTGAAGCAAGTTATTGCTGCCAGACAATTGGATTTATAAGATCATGGTTGCTTATAAATTACTTAATATATTCTATGGTGGAGCTGTAGGCCATTTATCGTGTTTGTAATCTCCGAGACAGAGGAGCAAGCTAAACGGACTATAATGGACAGACTGCTACTCTGCAAAGAGGCAATTTTTCAATGCCAGCGATTGTAGTATTATGACAGAAAAATTAGTTGGTGCATCATATGTATTATATAGAAGGTGACAGTTTATTTCACTGACTGTTGTGTATACAAATAGTGGTGATTTGTAAAGGACAGCCTTCTGTTATATGATTTTTCACAATACTGAACTGCTGCGGTAGTGCTGAGTTACTTCTTAACACTGTTTTGCCGGTAATCAATTTGCGCAAACTAATTCCTTTTCCTTTTTATTCAGTTCCTGGAGAGTATTTTTGTGGCATTGATGGTAGCGGCAGAAGATATGATGCAGATCAAAGACCTGAGCTTTCTAAGGGAACAGTAGAGTTTGTTGCTCCCACTGAATATATGGTGCGGCCACCAATGCCACCCTCCTATTTCTTTCTTATTGATGTGTCCGTATCTGCAGTTCGAAGCGGGCTGCTTGAGGTATGTGCTATTTGTTTTGCAGTTTGATTTCAATCACTTAGGGGATCATATTTTTCTCTGTAACTCATAATATGTACTAGTGGTGCAGCATATTCTTATAGGTTATGCTTTGTAGTTTGGATTCAAACAAATTCAATGCTTGCATTCTTTCAGGTTGTTGCAAAGACCATCAAATCATGCCTTGATGACCTCCCAGGGTTTCCACGAACACAGATTGGATTCTTAACTTTTGATAGCACATTGCACTTTCATAATTTCAAGGTATATCCATCTATCCTTTTATCCATTTGCTCTGCAATAATATACTAGCGTCTGAAATTTAGTTCAATTTATGTGAGGTTACTTACATGACTTGTATTATCTGGTTGTATCAGTCGTCTTTGTCACAACCTCAAATGATGGTGGTCGCTGATTTGGATGATGTTTTCCTGCCGTTGCCTGATGACCTCTTGGTTAATTTGGTTGACTCTAGACATGTTGTCGATTCATTTCTCGATAGCTTGCCAAATATGTTCCAGGACAATGTAAATGTAGAATCTGCTCTTGGTCCAGCACTTAAAGCAGCATTCATGGTTATGGTAAGATGCCAATTTTCCTACAATTGCTTCTGCTACCATTAGTTGTACCCACTACCCAGATATGGATAATTGTGTCATATCTTTTGTAGAGTCAAATTGGAGGGAAGTTACTTGTATTCCAGAGCACATTACCATCTCTTGGTGTTGGTCGCTTGAGACTTCGAGGAGATGATGTCCGTGCATATGGAACAGATAAGGAGCATTCTCTCAGAGTCCCAGAAGATCCTTTTTATAAACAGATGGCTGCTGAGTTCACGAAAAATCAAATTGCAGTGGACATATTTTCTTTCAGTGATAAATACTGTGATATAGCTTCTTTAGGTGAGATTTTTCTGCCAAACCTTGGAAAGGTGCATTGCAATTAACCATGTTCTTTAATTTTGCTACATTTCTGTAGGTTCTCTGGCGAAATACACTGGTGGTCAGGTGTACCATTATCCATCCTTCCAGGCAGTTACTCATGGGGATAAACTCAAACATGAGCTTAGCAGAGACCTTACACGGGAAACTGCATGGGAATCTGTTATGCGTATCAGATGTGGAAAAGGTTCTGAGCTGACAATATTTTAAAGTTTTATTTATCAGCTTAACATTCAATGACTTACAAACTGATGTCTGCTTGCAGGGGTGCGCTTCACAACTTATCATGGCCATTTCATGCTAAGGTCCACCGACTTATTAGCACTTCCAGCTGTTGACTCTGATAAAGCATTTGCAATGCAACTTTCTTTAGAGGAGACCCTAATGACCACACAGACTGTATATTTCCAAGTGGCATTGCTGTATCCTTTCCTGCCAATCTGGTTATGCAACACTCTTATTCAAATCTTCATTTAGATTAGAAAAAAATAATGTTACATATGGACAATTTAACCTGACAAATTGACTGTTAACACCTTCCTCAAATTGTCATTAGCATAGGCTGTTTGGGACATCCCTTAACTTGTGATAGCTTGATGAAACTTGTAAAATCTGTTTATGCCCAAACATTTTGGGAGTGCATTTAGATGTGTCAATACTTATCTGCATGACTCACTGGAGTACTGCTTTGTTGTTATTGTTAGCTGTTCGATATTAGTTATTATTAGAAGATTCTGTTATGTGTGATATTTGTTATTGTTAGCTGTTTGATACATTTTTAGCAGCATATATTGTATGAAGTGGTAGTTGTTCTTAACCACCACCAGATATACATCCTCTTCTGGTGAAAGGCGTATCAGGGTGCATACAGCAGCTGCACCTGTGGTCACAGATCTTGGTGAAATGTATCGTCAAGCAGATACTGGTGCCATTGTGTCATTGTTGAGTAGAATCGGTTAGTACTAGATTTATGCTCCTGCCATTTTGTAAATGCCAGTATATATGGTATTTGAGTGTTCATAGTTTTGACTTATTATATGTTGCAGCTGTTGAAAATTCACTGTCTGATAAGCTGGACAGTGTTCGGCAACAATTACAATTAAAGCTTGTGAGAAGTTTGAAGGAATACCGGAACCTATATGTTGTACAGCACCGGATAGGAGGGAGACTTATATATCCAGAATCTTTAAGATTCTTGCCGTTGTACATTCTGTCCATATGCAAGTCTCTTGCTCTTCGTGGTGGTTACGCAGATGTTTCTCTTGATGAACGTTGTGCTGCTGGTTTCAGCATGATGATACTGCCTGCAAAAAAGCTGCTCAATTTTATTTATCCTTCATTGTACAGGGTTGATGAAGTATTGTCAATGGTATGTTATATTTCCTTCATATACATCTTGTTAAGTTAAAACATCAATACTCTGTAAATAAAATATGAAATGAAAAAAAAAATAACTTCTAGTGTTAGCCTTTTTTGGATGGGAATAATCAGCACAATAACTTATTAGTGTTCAACAATTAGTTTGGAAGGTCTTTACTTTGTGGTTTTGAGAGGAAGGTTCTGTTTTACTTTGAAACTTTAGAGCTATTAATAATTAATAATGAAATAAATGCATCAGTCACCGAGCTGTTTTCGTTGGTACATTAGAAACACGCCTTTTTCTTCTGTTTAGCTTAGGCACTGTTTGCTAATGAAATTGAATTTTCCAGGAACCAGATAGGATCGGTGGATCCTTGAAGCGGTTGCCACTAACCATGCAGTGCTTAGACACTGGTGGTCTTTACCTTCTTGATGATGGGTTTACCTTCCTAGTATGGTTAGGTAGGATGCTCCCACCTGAACTTGTGAACAACATTCTTGGAGTCAGCTTGGCAAACTTCCCCGATCTATCAAAGGTACACTTTTTACTCTCTAGTCAATGGCAATGCTTGCTATAAATTCATCAAGAAGGGCAGAGCATATTTCCATTTTATTATGTCCTAAAATAAAGTCTCAAGTATCTCTGCTAGGACTGAACACTTTGTTCCGTAAATTGAATCTAGTTGTTAATGTGGGTAATTCCAAACTAGTTTTGAGTTACAACTATGCTAACTGGGATATCTTGCAGGTTCAATTGAGAGAATGTGATAACGAGTACTCCAGAAATTTCATGAAAATACTAGGGACCCTAAGGGAGAGGGATCCTTCTTACCACCAGCTCTGCCGCGTCGTACGTCAGGGTGAACAGCCAAGAGAAGGCTTTTTGCTTCTATCTAACTTGGTCGAGGATCAGATGTCTGGGACTAGCAGTTACATGGACTGGATACTCCAAATCCACCGCCAAACGCAGAGCTAGTCACGATGAATCAAGGGAATCGCCGTTCCAAATTTTTGGCTTATTGTAAACTGCTGCAGATTCAGCCGCTGCCAGTTCCTAATCTCTCGAAACAGTTGGAACTAATTCGCAAGTCAGATGTCCAGAATGTCTTCCCCTTAGCAGCAGCACGCTGGCAAGCAAAAGTTTTATTGTTAATATTCGTCCCTGTGATTATTTTCCTCGTGAGTGAAAATACAGATGTTGTATGAGAATAATTAGGGCAACAGTGACCATTGGTAAGGTATACAACTTGGTGTTCTTGGAAATGTGCTGTACGTTTTTTTTTTCCATTTTTGTTTTTATTATTGTTCAGATTTCTAGTTTGTGCCGTGTCGGTCTCCTGGTATTTTTAGTTCTCCAAAGTTTGTCGTGTAAAACTCATTTTTGACTGATGATCTAGCTGCATGTAATGGGGGGAGGGCTCCCATTTAACTGGTGTTCTTCGGATGTCTGTTCGTGTCATTCATTTTCTGATACCCTGTTTTGATTCTGGATGTGGCTACTGGTTAGTCTCATCATGGTTTACGTTGTTACGAATTGTAGTCGCATTTAAATTCAAATGAAATTTGCTAAGATAAACTCAGTAAAACCAACTACTCGTGCAAGAGTTACTGACCCATGAATGAAGTGACGGTGTCTCGTTGCTTTGTTTAGTTCCGCGAGGGCGAAGCTAATGATGTTTTGATATTGAGAAAACAAGGTGAAAAGCAAATATTTTGTACAGGGAGGTTTTTTTTTTTAAAAAAATATTATTGCTTATGAGCTGAATACACCACTTATATATGAAAAATAATTTGAGTAGGGTTTCTCCCTAAGAACTTTAGGTGCAAAAAGACCAAGGAAAACCCATGCACAAAATTAAAACCATGCCTCATGACATGTGGTTTTGTGAAATTTAATCTTATAATTACGGTCATGTGGTTTTGTGAAATTTAATCTTATAATTAAACCGTAAGTTCTTAACTCAAACCGACAGAGCTACACAAAACCAGAACTATGCGGAAAACAATTTAAACAAATGGTTCTATTAACACCTTCTTGTAAAGAACATTAAAAAAAGGTATTTTCTACAGCATATAAACTAGTGAAAAGAAAAATGGAGAAATAAAATATGTGAAATTTCACATAAAAAATTAAATAGTAATATGTACTATGTAGTACTTTAAAAGAAACCAATGATAGTAACCGTGAGACTCATATACTTCATCTTTTTTTCCTTGGTATCGTCAACTCCCAAATCACATGCGCTTTCTCTTGAAAGTATCAGTTTTCCTTATCTCCTTTTCCGTTGCAAAGGCACTGAGTTTATATTTCGTAGTTGCAAAGGAATAGAAAATTAGTAAAGTGAGCGTAGCTCAACTGGTTAGGTTCTGTCTCATAGAAGCCGTCCACATGGATGCGCGCTTATTTTCTTTTTTAAGAAAAAAAAAGAGGAGAGAGGTTTTGGACTCGTAGAAGGAAAGGCAGCCAGCAGCCCAGCGCAGCAAAGCGCTGTGGTAGGCCCTTTCCCCTCCTCCTCCGAAAATGATGGCGGCTCGCCGTTTCTCCGCCGCCACGCCCTCCTCTCCCCTCCTCCTCCGCCGCCGCCTCCTCTCCTCTCAGCCACAGCCCACGGCGGCGGCGGCGGAGGCCGACGCGGGCGCGGGGGAGTGGGTCCGTCGCGCGGGGGCGCTCTCGCTTCTGGGGCTCACCGGCGCCGTCGCCGCCAGCGCCGTCAGCGACCTCTCCGTCTTCCTCTCCTGCTCCAGGTCAAAACCCTAGAATCCCTTGCCCAATCTCCATTGGAGTATTGTATTGAGCGCGTGATTCGCCTGTTCGAACTGACGATTAGGATGGTGGGGGGGATTCGGATCAGCTAACACCTATCAACAGCAATTTGATTTGAAACGCATGACCGATGAATCTGTGCATCCTTCCTGGGGAGTATGAGAGCTAGCATTCGCAACGTGTGATGATGATGTTTTGCTTCGCGATTTTTTTGCATCGAGTTAGTGAGAGAGAGATGGTTTGGGGGCTAACTACTGGTGGTGCTCTTGTTGCAGCCAGGCGATAGAGAAGGCCTCCCAGAACCAGCAAATAGTGAATGCGATCGGCGCGCCCATCGTGCGGGGTCCCTGGTACAGCGCTTCCATCGCCGTGAATCACGCGAGGCATTCCGTCTCCTGCACTTTCCCCGTGTCGGCGCCTCAAGGAAATGGGCTTCTCAAGTTCAAGGCTGTTCGCTCGGGAGGTAGTATGTGATATATTGTTTTTACTACTTGGATGCTGGCTGGATAGTTGTTAAATTGACATGAATTTTCTTTTCTGCACTAAACTTGAATTACCACCACTTGAACTTTTAATGCATACTCTGCATGAATGTTCATTTACGGATGGAATAGAACATATTTTTTTAGTCTGCATCATTTATGAAGTGCTTCATATCATGTTCTCATTGCATTTGGACGAAAAGCAAATCATATTAGCAGATTCGTTTATGATTTGCCTTACCTGATAGCATAATGATATAGGTATAAAAACTCTCTGACTATAGGTACAAATAATAGCTATAGGATATGATGAACACCACGTATGCATCAATAGATCTCATAATGCTAAGGTCTGAGGTGAACTTCATAATAGTCATTATCCACCATCCAAATGGAATATTATGAATGATTGGCCCTGATCTTTCATGGTAATATGAATCCAGAAACCTCCTCATTTGTTGGCATAGCTTGCCTCCTTTGATGCACCAGTCAAAAACCTAGATAACAAATTCTTATTTCCCCCTGCAAACACTCAGTGTGCAAAGGTGAAAATAGGGATTGTCCAGTGATTATATTCCTACACCTGGTACAAAACCAAAGATGAACCCTAGATGATTCCTCAAGCACACTCACAAGTGCTGCCAATGCCATGGTGGTTTCCTGGTATTTTTTTTACTCAAAATATTCAATCCACCCTCTTAGACGCCCATTGGCCTATGACATTTATAGCCTAGCACCAGCTTCCCTAGTTTAAGATCATATTTGAAGTCCCTTAGAAACAAACAATATGAGTTCTCCTAAAAATCAACAGGAGTATGCTATTTTGCACAAGATTGGAGGCTGGGTTGGCCACACTTTTTGGATTTGGATAAGGTTCCAGCCACACTCCTAAAAATCGAAGTTGCTTGGACTTGTGCTCAAAGTACTAGCGAGATTTGTTTTTATGGGCTTGGTTGCAGTAGATTTTATCGCTGTGTTTGGATTCATTCTGTTTTTGTATAATCTGTTGGATTAGATCAGCTTGGAAGGCCAATTACTAGAGTACTGGACTTGTGGTTGGTTCAATCCTTTGCTTGGTTTTTACACATTTACACTCTGCCTAAACGGTTAAGTATTACTCCTTATGGGCTGATAATACTTGTCGTTTTGGACAAGGACACGGTTTTCAAAATACAATTTTGACCACTATTTTTTATTATAATATATATAGAAATATCAATAAATATATGATTTTATTGAAGTACATTTAAGATCAATCTATAGATATGGTCACCATATTTCTAAGACAAATATTTTAGATGTTATTTATAGACAAATAGCCTTGTCCAAAACGACAAGTATTATCAACCCGGAGGGAGTAGTAAGGTAGTTCCTTTATTCACAAATTTTGACTACCAGTAGAGCTTGGGTAGATGAAAGATCTATGGTGGCAAGTTGAGAGACACACCATGCAATTATTAGGTGCAGAATACAACTGTGTTATTTCATTGTTGAACAGTAAAACAACTTTGCAGCTACAAACTAGCCTACCAAAAATTATGAGGTTAGAGCTATTGGATCCTTGCTTAAGTGTACAACGTAGCAATAAAAAAAAAAGATGGCTTGTCAAATTTCAAGTAGTTGGCACTTCATGTTTGAACTTTACCCGAAGCGCTGCAAATATACTCGCACCGGTCAGAACTCAGAAATACTTGTCCTTCTGGATATACCTTGGATCCAATCTTTTTAAAATATTTTGATTGTAAATATAAAAACCGTGCATGTAGATTTGTTTGAAAAGTATTATCATAATATTATATATTTGTTTTATTTTACAAATACATTAAAATAGAAATTAATGGTCAAAGTTGCATTTTGAAGATAGTGACAATGTCCAAAAGGATAAGTATTTGTGACTGGACGGAGTTATATTTTGGTATTTGAACTAATAAGCAAACTCTAAAATTCTAGTTCTCTTAAAAAGGTTGGTTCCACTAGGGCTAGGTCAGCATTGCTGTGATGCCTACATTGGCCTAGTAATGCTCTTTTTCTCACTCAACTCACAGTAATAAACTTTTTTCTGTGACAAGAACTATTTAGACTAAACGTTGAATGTAGTTTGTAAATTTGGTCCTGTCGGTGTTTCTGATTGCTCAGTGGATGATTTTCTTGGTATCGAGACTTAATGCTCATGCTAATGTGTTGCTACTGATATTGCATTCCTCCGGGAGCTGTTAGTTCTTAAATTTATCACTTCGAGATATTTCCTCCAATGAAGTACTGTCTAACTAAAGAAATTTTTGTTAGACAACTGATATCAATACTTTTGAGTGGCTATTAAGTCTTGATCCATGTTGTAGGAGCCTAAATCTTATCCCGTCATGTTCTTATTCTTGCAGATGAGTCGTGGTTTTCATTTCTGCAGCCCAATGACTGGGAAATACTCCTAATGGATGCTATCCTTGATGTTCCTACTGACGATGGGAAACACCAAACAATTAGGGTAACAATTCCAGACAACACAGCACCTCCACCAGCAATTGATTGCAAGGCATGCAAGTCCCAACCAACGCTGACGCCACCACCACCTCCATCTCCGTCACCTCCACAGAAGTGAATTCGTCTGGAGAAATTCTTTTGGTCCGGAAATACCTACCTTGGATTAGTCTTTTTTACTCTATTCCTCATTGACCATGAAAGAAATAAGTACTGCAGTTGGACCGAGAGAACAGCAGATTCTTTACTTTTGTTTTTGCAATGATACAACATAGAATAGGTTACCTGATTGTTCCCCACTCAGCAATACTTTGGAAGGTGGATCCATCAATCACTAAACTAGATTTGCTTTAGGACTTGCTAGCGAGGCAGCGTTTTGGCACTCAAGTTTTTTAGGGTTTATACTACATGATACTCCATGAGAATCTAGGTTGGTTAATTCAGTGCTTCTTCCTGGTTGTCCAAGCCTTCTGGTTGGCATGTGGAAATACATCATACTAAATACTGATATTATGTAGCAGTTTGGGTAGGAATGTACGATTTGAAGTTCAAGAAATAGCACCTGGGGTCATTTGTTAAAGCTAAAACCAACGTCATCATACGTAAAAAGGATACAAAATCAAAAGACTGAAAATATTTTAGAAGATCGTTATCTTGACGCCTCTTGTAGGCATTGGAGCCATCTTTTTCAACATATTCTAGAACTCTGACAACTGAAGGGAACATTTTAGACAAGCCCATCAATGTTTCATAACGAGAGCTCCAACAAGTGTCACCTAGCCTCTGAAGAGATATTTCTTGATAGTCACCTTCCTGTAACAACTCTTCCCTTCCAATTGTTTTCCTCACTTAACTCTTCCCTTCCAATTGTTTTCCTCACTTCTTTTTAATGATGCTCTCGAAGTTTTTCTTTTCTCTTGTAGGAACTACCAACACATTCAACAAAACTGATATCATATAAAAAAATCACCAACATCGGATATCTCACAACCACCAAGTTAAGTTTATGACCAAAACAATGAATATAATATGCTGAATTATTCTCATAATTTTAGCTTGCCAACCATTAAATTCACCTAACATATTACTTGCTCCATCATAACCTTAGCCTCTAATTTCTTTTAGACTTAGACCAAGATCTGCAAGTAAGAGATAAGAAGCCGTCATGTCCTCCACATGAACAATACCAACAAATTTTCTTTTAACACCTCACATTTATTAACATACCGAAGAACCACCACCATTTGTTCTTTGTTGGAAACATCTAAGACACTCATCAACCAATAAGCTGAACACATCATTGCCAAATTCTTCCATAATACTTCCCAATAATTCTTTTGCAAAGCACTTAGTGATTTCTTTGTGAATTGTTGGAGATAGCATGTGATTATTAAGTGAGGCATTTTTTAATGCCTTGGCAACAACATCGTTTTGCTTAATAGTATACTCCAACAACTACAAATAATTTCCTTTATTTTTGGACTGTTTTGATTCATTATGCCCACGGAAAGGTTGTCTCTGATGCAACAAGTATCGACATATATCAATTGATGCATTTAACCGGATAAGATGCTCATTTTTTTCCGTTTGGGTTTGTCTGTGAAAGGCCACAGGAATTGACTGGTCTTGTTTCAATAGATGCTCACAATTCTTGAGTGCCTTTATGTGAAAACTATTACAGTCACCAAAATGAGTCACTAATATCTCTGTCTTGTTCCAAGAGTTGAAGTCTTATATGACAAATACATCATGCCCATGGTGATTACCTTTTATGCTAACATGAGTCACCAATATCACTGTCTTGTTCCAAGAGTTGAAGCCTTCTATGACAATGCTTCATGCCTATGATGATTATCTTTTATGCTATCCCTAAACAAATAGCAGCATAAACAGTAGGCTTTGTCATCCTTTTCGCTATACTGTAGCCAATTAGCATATTTATCAAACCAACATGGACTGAATCGCCTCTTATTCCCAATCAACCTATACGGACACTGGAAATACCATGTGGATGATATGGTCCCCATACTAAATAATTTCTCCTTAATGTGACCAAGCTGCCATATTGCTCATGTAGACTTGCAACTCCTTTGCGGCAAGTGGCCTAACGAAGATGGCGGAGAACTCGAGGCGCTCCCCGATGGAATCCGCCGACGCCATAGTGTTCCTCGTCGGTGGTGCGCTCGCTGGAGATCTCGCCGGAGCAAACACAAGTGCGGGAGGGGGATTCCCCACCAGATGCGCAATGCGTGGGAGACGGCGATCCTCGACAATTGTCCACGCGCGTATCGACTCGGCTTGGGCCCAAGGTCGGCAATGGCGATACGGGCTCTCGATTCACAGCCCATTCCTGTAGCAATGGCCTCTCTATCCGACCGCGTCAACTCGCGCACCTTGACTCCTGTCTACAACATCTGTGGGGGATAGATGTGAGGGAGCTAGGGCTTCGTGGAGGTTGGAGGAGAGGTGAACCATTACACGAGGAGAGGGAGGTAGAAGAGTGGCCTAGGCTTGGGATTGGCGGTGGTGGCAGGGGATCCAAGTGGAGGAGCACAATTCACGGTGATTCTCGCCGCTTCGCGAATGTGGTATGAGGTTGGTGGCAAGGCATGGAGTATCAGGGTGGAGGATAGCGAGGGAGGTTCTAGCCCAAGCAGGCGTTCTGCAGCGACGGGCAGCATCCTTCGGAGCCATCTCCACAAGGCGGCCATGACCAAGTGGACTGGGGTAACTAGCACAAGGCCTCGGGAGGAGGAGAAGGTGGAGGTCAAGCTCTGCCCATGGCGTCCAAGACAGGGGGGATGCAGTACAGGCCAGTGCAGAGGGCGTCGACAGCCTTAGGAGGAGGGGAAGGTGGAGGTCAAGCTCCGCCCATGGCATCCAAGACAGGGGGATGCAGCACAGGCTGGTGCAGAGGGCGTCGATAGAGATGCTGCCCACCCATGCTGCAGAAAGCAAGCAAGCAAATCCCTAGGTGGAACAACCCCAAATCTAGGCCAATCCCCACGATGGTATGCCCCTGAATACTCAAAAGACTTTTTTTGCAATAGATGAAAAAGCTTTGGTCATGTGGCTAGGGATTGCATTGTCTCAGTTTACTGCATCAATTGTGCTAAGGCTACTCATAGGAATGAGGATTGCATTTTTGATAAGCAACCTAGATTGGTAGCCAAATTGGTTAGATATGGAGCCCCAGGTCTTGGTTGTATTCTCATTTAGAACACCAAACCAATCCCTCTCAAGGAACAAGCTAATCCAATGGCTCGTACACGTGCTGCGCCGATCGTTCCCGTGAACGCCTTGTCCATGACATTGAGGCTCTGCACGGCGCGGCGACACGACAGCTGCACCTGCGGGTAGCTCCACGAGTGGTGTTGCAGCACCTTCACCACCAGGTCCTCTACATAGTCCCACACCTGCCTGACAAGATCGTGCGGGACGTGTGCAATGCTCTCGATCTTCTGGTTTAGTAGATTGTGGAGCACCGACCTCAGCATGACATTGGGGAGGTTGATGCCCTTGGTCTCCTCGAGCACCCGCATCTCCTCTGCCAAGAATGGCTCATCGTCACTCACCCTCGTGCTTTTCAATGACGCGCGCTGTGCCGTGGTGGTGGCGGTCGCCCGCGTACTTGTTGAAATCTCCCCTGATGAGCACCTTCTCCAGCATAGATGATGTGGAAGAACTCCCTCACCGCATCTGCCACGGTACAGAGTTTCGGTGGCATCTGGCTGAGCTCGTCACTGCTATGGCTAAGCTTGTCGTTGATCTGCTTGATGTTATCGTTTAGTTTATCTTTTCAAGTTTGTGCTGCATTTGTATAAACATCTGATGATGTTTTGTAAGACATTAGATCTATAATACACTATCATTTGTGTAACATAGCTAGTCTTGGATAGGGGTTTAATGCACAATTTAGTTCTGAATTCTGGTTATGAATATCTGGGTGTGACAATTGTTTCCTGGCCAAGGATTAATTCCTCCACCTGGAGTGCCTTGAGTAATGCTTTATTCATGGTGGATTTCTCAAGATCCATGGGTGGATTATGAGAAAGCAAGATTGTTGTGGAGGTTAGGGTTCGTTCTTGGGCTCTGGGAGTTTGAAGATGATGGAAGACAAAGAGGGCAATGAATGAGTAAGTTTATTTTTTCGACATCATAGCTTCTCGGGTGTGCTAGAGTTGTCAGCATTGAATGAGCATTTGCGTAGAGGTCGAGGGTTACTGTTAGTGTCATAGATAAGGTATACCTCATATACATGTACTTACCATGTCTAGGAATACTGCATACTGTCAATGGAGTAGATTCAACAACTATGCTTGTAGAGTATAGGGAATGTTGGTACCAGGGTATACACAAGATAGGAATAGGAAAATGGGAGACCCGAGATTTTTACAGGTTTGGGCCCCTGGATGATGGGTAATAGCCCTACTACTATTGGACGAAGCCGGTGTTGCCTTTATATATCAATCTCTCGAGTACAAAGTATATAGAGGAAAGCCTAATCTAGGCTGCCAGTATATTGGCGTAAAGCTCGAGCATGGTGGTCGGCGGCTAGCTGTAGTTGGCTTCCTCGAGTAGTGACTCTACGAGATTGATGGTGGCTTGTATTGGTTTGTATCTCTCTTGGCTTGTTGGGATGTGTTGGCTTATCCCTCCCTTCCTTGGGGTCCTGTATTTATACCCTCAAGTGTCCCCTTATCTAAGTAGAACTAGGAAGACAAATATGTGTACGATTCGAGTAGTTCTGGTTAGGCCCAAATAGGACTATGTTTCTCTTTATTTGAGACTCCTCTCTTATCTACTTAAGAGTTTTGCCATACGTATGAGGTTTGATTCCGTACAGGATTTGGTATATGGTGGTCCCCGCCGAGCTAAGTACACATGTATAGGATATCCCATATCTAGGACACTGATAACAATCTGAAAATTACACGCAAGACGCGCGAGTGGTGATGGATGGAAGGAAAGCTAGGTAGCTAGTGGCTACGCTGATATCCTTTTAAATTTTTTTTATAGCTATTTGAATAACATGTAACCAACGAGGGAGGGAATGTCTCATGGAGAGTATTATTATGCGTGGCAGCTACACGCGAAGTGGAGTACTAGGTGGAGTAGTAGTTATCAGACATGGTCGGTGCTTGCCGCGTTAATCTGTCCATGATATTGGCGACGACTTCCCTGGATTCCCGGAGCAGTTTGATGCTTTTCTTGAGACAGTCACGCTTGGCGGCGGCGGCGGGTGTGGGCACCAGCATCCGCTCCACTCCGTCCATGTTATTGCCCATGACCTGAGCAGCGAGCTCATCCTCGAGATCCTTCTCAGCGAGGCGCTTGATGCTGTAGAGGACGTGCAGGGCCAAGCCGTCGATGACGCGGAGCACGACGCTGTTCCAGTACGCGGCGAGTCGCGCCTTGAGGTCGAAGGCCTGCATGGCGAGCTCCACCTGCTCCGGCGGCAGCTGGTGGAGGTGCGACACGTCGGTCTCTCCGAACCCCGGGAGGGCGACCGCCGTGGGCTTGGAGAAGGAGCGAAGCTAGCATCAAAACAAGGGGGGTGCACTACCATTGAGAATCTAGAAAATTTCAGTACAACGCTATACATTCTAGTGTTTTTAAGTGAGAAATTAGGAATTTAGGGGGTTCATGTGCACCCCCCAAACACTATATACCTTCGCCACTGGCTTGGAGCGGTCCTCCAGGGCCTCGCGGAGCCTGCTCTGGCCATCCATCATGCTGGTCCAGGTCTTGATGTACTCGGGGTTCGCCGTGTAGTTGGCCACCATCTCCATGTCGATGAGCTCGTTCACGTACCGCGCCGACCGCTCTCGCGCCTTGTCCATGAGGCTCTGCACGGCGGGGCGGCACGACGGCTGCACCTGCGGGTAGCTGCGCGAGTGGCGCTGCAGCTCCTTGAGCACCAGGTCCTCCACGTAGTCCCACACCTGCCTGACGAGATCGTGCGGGACTTGCGCGATGCTCTTCACCTTCCGGTTGAGCAGAACGTGGAGCGCCGACCTCGGCATGAAGTTGGGGAGGTTGATGCCCTTGGTCTCCTTGAGCACCCGCATCTCCTCCACCAGGAACGGCTCGCCGTCGGTCGCGGCCGCCGCCGGCAGCCTGCGCGCGAAGCCCTCGAGCATCTTGGCGAGGCGCGCCGTGCCGTGGTGGTGGCGGTCGTTGGGGTACTCGTCGAACTCTCCCCTGACGAGCACCTTCTCCAGCGACGCGCGCATCTGATTGACGATGTGGAAGAATTCCCTCACCGCGTCTGCCACGGTGCAGAGCTCCGGCGGCATCTGGCCGAGCTCGTCGCTGCTGCGGCTGAGCTTGTCGTTGATCTGCTTGACGATGTCGGGGAGGGACCGGGCGATGATTCTCGCCTGGATCTGCGTCAGCCTCCGCGCCAGCGTCGGGACGCCCACCATGGACTTGTCGATCCTGGAGAGCAGAGGGTGCTCCGCGAACAGCCGCGCCTCCGCCTCCCGGGCCTCCTTGTAAGTCTCGTCGCCGATGCGGTTCCGGACGCAGACGTAGCCCAGGCCGATGCGCACGTCGTCCACGGTGACCTTCTCGAGCAGGCCCTCGGGGGCCTTGTCGGACTTGGTGACGACGGCCAGCGTGCGGTTGCCGGTGCGGTCCACCTGCTGCGACATGCGGATGGACTCGCACGTCGGGAAGTCGACGGTGGCGGAGAGCACGTTGAGGATGATGCTCTCCCTGGGCGCGATGTACGCCTTGATGATGCCAGCGATCTGGTCGTAGATGTCTTCCGGCTGCCCCTTCACGGGCACGCGGGTGATGCCCGGCAGGTCGACGAGGGTGAGGTCGGGCACGCCCTTCTTGCGCACCACCAGGGTGATGGGCGCGTTGGAGATGCCCTTGCCGCACCCGGCGATCTCGGCGGTGGCGGCGTTGATGGCGTCGGCGACCTCGGCCTCGGAGGTAGCCACCACGCGGCCGCCGCTGTACTCGAGCCGCAGCGCAGGCTCGTCGTCGTCGCCGGCGTCCTGCAGCCGCATCACCAGGGGCACGCGGGTGCAGATGCCCTGCCCGCGCGGGAGGCTGATGCCGGCCAGCGACTCCAGCACGCTGGACTTGCCGCTCGACTGGTCCCCGACCACCACGATGGTCGGGAGCTGTATGCCCTCCTGGCTCACGTTCAGCTGCCGCAGCCGGTCCACGGCGTCCAGCAGCGGCCGGATCTGGTCGTTGTACGACGCCGCCATGGCGCTCCTCGCGATGCCGCCCTTCACGTCCTCCTCCTCCATTTCCTCCTGCTCTGCCCCTGCTGCTGCTTCCTCGTCGATTCGCAGGTGCATGTACACACACTCACACGTACGGGAAACCAAAATTAAAAATTAAGCACGCCAATTACCACCGTTTTTCTTAGGCTATCAAGCACTGACGTACGGCATCTGCTCTAGTCTACTTGCAGTGCAGTGCAGGAGGCAGCGCTGGAATCCAAGATTCGTGGACGGATAATTGAATTATACTATATATGCGTTGTTTCTTGGCTTTATTTATGGAGGCGACGCATCCGCCTTTTTCTACCACGGCACACACATGCCATGCCTGCCTTCCCAACGAAGGAACAATATGGTACCCTTTCCTCTCGAAAAAGGAGAAAAAGAGAGGGGGTGAGGGTACGACGATCGACGATGACTCTCCCCGGTCCGGTGCATTGCATGGACGGACAAATTTGCGTTTCCGTCCATGGTGGTGCATGGTGCATGGTGCATCGCATGGTACATTTTTTTTAAAAGTTTTGTAAGTTACTTTCAAAAATCATATTAATCTATTTTTTTTAAAAAATATACTAATACTTAATTGATTATATACTAATGAGTCTTTTACGCGTTCAGAAGAATTAGTTTCCATCCTTAGGGAGGAAGGCCGGATCTTTGCTGGTGGGCTCCACACACTACTACGGAACGTGTAACCAGCAGTAACCGCGGCCATCTGTAACCGCTTAGCTAAGACAGTTTGCAAGGACATAACCTGTAACACTTAATTATATAGACTGTTATAGATAGAGGTAGGATCAAACACTGGTTACTGACGACAACCTATCTGTGTAATGGTTCAATATTCTAAACCTATTATAGATTTTATTCTAAGGCAAATTTTGCTACAAGACACTGCTAATGTGTGGTTTTAATCTTAGGATACTGCCTAAACTCACTTTTGGGGGAAAACACTCCATAAACGTGGTAATTTGCCAGTGGACACTGCGCTGATTAAAATAATAATTTTCGGTTAAAGAGGTGAGAGAAATTACGTGAAATGTCAAAAATACCCTTGGGCCCACATGTCAGCTCTCCTCTCTTTGTTTCTTTCTCCCTTCTTCTTCTTCCTCTCGGTCGCGGCTTGCTCGGTGACAGCGGCGATGCCCGGAGCGCGCGCGGTCTACTCGGCACCGGTGGCCGCTGGAGGACCTCCTTCCTCCCATGCCGCCTCCCTCCGTTCCACCTTGCCGCCATGCTCCACACCGCGCCGAGCCGGCCAGCGCTCAAGCACGGCCGCGCCGCGCCATCACCGCCCATCACCTGCGCTCCACGTCGTCGGCGAACTTGTCCCACCTGGCGACGCGGAAGAAGCCCGGGGCCTGCGCCCGCGTGACCTCGATCGTCCTCGCCAGGCCAGGCACGACCACCGGCGCGTTGTCGTCGGCGACGCTGTCGTAGGCGCCGAACCTCTCGACGTTGTGCTGGCAGAGGAGGCAAAAGGCGGACATGCTAAAGAAGGTGAGCCGCGGGACGGTGAGGCCGGCGGCGAGCTCCGACGCCCACGGGTGGCAGAAGTCCGCCACGAGGCACGTCGGGCGAGCGTGGAGGAGGAGGTGGCGTAGTCGAGCGGGAACTCGGCGAGGCGGACCGCCGGGCCGAGTCGACGGTGGGGCCCGCCCTCGCCGCCGTGGCTGGCGTGGTGACGATGGTGCAGAGCGCGCCGTGGGTGGCCCGCAGCAGTGTGGTGTCCAACGCCGGTATGAGGTGGCCCTGCGCCATGAGCGGGACGAACACGAAGTGCGCCGCCGCATTGATGCAGATAGCTCGTGTTCTCGCTGGCGATGTATTGCTATTGCTTGTGCAGCTAGCTGCTGATCCATCCATATGTGTGTGTGCATGCTTTAAAGAGAGACGTGACGGCCGGTGATGTGTTGGATCGTTTGTTTCCATATGCCGGCGCGCGCCGCCGCTGTTGCCACCGACGGAGCTGGCGGTGACGACGTCCTCAATGTCCTGCAGCCACTGCTCGCCCTCGGCCGGCGGTGTCCGACGTCCGGTCGAGCACCAACCTCGCCTCGCCGCGCCGCCCCTTCATCGCCAGCCATCGCCACGACGGCGTGGATGGTCCGCATGGCGTCGTGGAAGCGGGAGGTGCTTCGAGGCCATTGCGGACGAGCTGGAAGGAGGGGATAGAGAGAGAAGTGAGATAGGAGAGCTGACATGTGGGCCCAAGGGTATTTTTGATATTTTACGCGATTTCTCTCTCCTCTTCAACCGGAAATTATTATTTTAATCAGCGCGGTGTCCACTGGCAAATTACCACGTTTATGGAGTGTTTTCCCCCCAAAAGTGAGTTTGGACTTATCCTAGAGATAAAACACACACAAGCAGTGTCCTGTAACAATGCCTGATTCTAATCTCTAACAGAGGTTAGTATCTCTAACCGTTATAAGTTCGGAGCCTAGCAAAGCAAGAATACCCAGCTCCTCAATTTGTTTACTGAAACACTCTTGCTAAGCGCCCTCCCTTCAGATTAAGATCGACCGTCCCTCTTCTCCATGTCAATAGTGAGCACCGCAGTCGGCTCTGCTACCCTACCCAAGTGCCGCCTACGCGCCCCCCATTCTCGATAGCCACCACCACTACTACAATAGCAAATTTTTGCGTGCGGTTGTTTCGCCCGTCTGGAATGATTCGTCTGGGAAAATCACGAAAATCAAAATCCAAAAAAAAAATAAAATTACAAAATCCTAACCCTAACCCTAGGTCGAACGGCGGCGGCGGCGCTGCTCCCGGCCGCCACCTCGTCGTCGTTGTCGGCAGCGGCCCCCGTCCGCCCACCGCCACCTCCCCACGTCTGTCCGCCGCCGCCGAGCTCGCTGCTTCATCTTCGTCGTCGGCAGTGGCCCACGTCCGCCCGCCGCCGCCGTGTGCACGACGCTCCCGGCCGCCGCGTCGTCGTCGGCAGTGGCCCCTGTCCGCCTACCGCCGCCTCCCCACGTCTGCCCATCGTGAGCCCGCTGCCACGCGCATGCCGCTCCCACCCACCGCCGCCGCGAGCCCGCCGCTCCCGCCAGCCGCCGTCGGGCCCGCCGTTGAGAGCCGCCGGGAGGAGAAGAAGGAGGCGTCGGCCATGTGGTGAGAAGAAGAAGGTGAGAGAGAGAGAGAGAGAGAGAGAGGAAAATGAGAGGAGGAGAGGAAAGTGAGAAGATAAGGGGGAGAGAGAGAGGAGAGAAGGGGGCCCAGGGGGAGAGAAGAAAGTCAAAATTTTTTTTAATAGGATGGGAGGGAAGGCTATTTTTCTGTGCGGGTAGATTAGGAGGCCCGCACGCGAAAATAGGGTTATTTTTGCGTGCGGGCCTGTTAAGTAACCCGCACATGAAAATTGATTTTCGTGTGCGGGCAACGACCCGGCTTCGCTCCCCCCATTTTTCCGTGCAGTCCAACTTATGGACTACATGGAAACAAAATGGGGTGGCGTCCAGGAAAATCAATCCTGTAGTAGTGCACCGCCACCTCCTCCCCCATGTGAGCACTGTGATCTACCCCCCACCTCCTTAGCATCGCCCACCCTGATCTAGTTATTTCGACCTCCGGGGTGCCAGGTCCGGCCTCCCCAAGGCAGCGAGAAGGGACGACGACATGCCTCCTCATTCCCCAACCACGTCCGCCCTTTTCACAGCGATGAGGAGGGATGCTATTGTGGGGTCACGGTACCCGGGTACCCACGGTTGGGCCATTGGGCCGCATAACATAGAGAGGGCCGCGTAGGTCTGAGTTTATGCAGTGCATGTGTGGCTAGATAAGGCAACCGATCTTATCTCATGTAAATAGATGGTAGGTTCCTATATTATAAGTGATTTGTTACCTACCATAATTGGCCGCCTCCAAGTATATATAAGGAGGACCGAAAACCCTAATTCAAGGAAGAGGACGATACGTTCTACGTGCTATTCACACGTTATGCTGCGGATACTTAGATACAAATCTAATCTCATACAACTGGACTTAGGGGCGTTGGCGCGCGACCAGCCCCACTCCCCCTAGTCTCTATACTACTACTATATACTCTACTACTATGATATATACTACTATTCCTATATACATATGTATATACATACATGTAACTTTGTATACGTACATACAAAGTTTATATATATGTATATAAATATAATTTTCTATATGTATATATTTTATAAAAAATATATACATGTATACAAACTTTGTATACATACGTATACAAGCTTTGTATACGTGCATATTAAAAACAAAAAAACCGAGAAAGAAAAAAACATGTATACAAAGTTTGTATACGACATATACAAACTTTGTATACGTCGTACAAACATATAAAAACACCGAAAAAATGAACAGGAAAACCAAAAAAAACCAACAGGAAAACCGAAAAAAAACCAACAGAGAACCGAAAAAACGAACCGGTGCCATGTGGCCCTTCCCCATCGCGCCGCTCAGCCCTCCCCCTCCCCCATCGCGCCACGTGCCCAGTCGCGCGCGGGGGGCGCCAATTAGCAATTTCGACTGGACTAGGGCATTACCCCTGAGAGCCTGAATCAGTATAAACTCTGTGTAACCATATCTCCTTAATTTCGTGCACCCTATAAATTATATTGCGGATCCAGAGAATCGACTGTTGATACGCCAGGTAGAGGGGCGCTAGATCAATCATCAGGAGGAGATGGCTTCAATCACCGATTGATACCGTCGACGAGATCGCGTTGATGGCATAAGCAGCGCAGGACGATGCAGTGCACGCCTGCGACGTGCTATCCTGGCCGGGGTGGCGATCGCGCAAGTCGTGGACGCGTCACGAGCTGGCGCGACCCCAGGCTGTTCATGTCGGGGCATGCAGGAAGGCGCGGTGGGCGACGCAGCTCGCCGACCGCCCTTCTCGTCCCGTGCAACCTCCCGCATCATGATTCATGCTTGCTTCCCCGCGCGGCCCCGGTTGATGCCGCACCTTGCCACGCATCCGCTTGACCGTCGTCGGAGCTGCTTCAATCACGCATATGCGTCGATGGATCTGGCGTCGATGCACGAGATTGATCGGCATGCATGCACATCTGGCAAACAGAGTGCATAGTTGATCGATACATGCATGCCCATTGCATCTACAAAATTAGTTTTTTTAAGGCTAATCTGAGATTGTTTTGCTTGTTTGCATGTCCCATGCGACCTACGCACTACTGGAAAAAGCATTTTCGCCGACGTTGGCAAAAAATTTTCGCAAGCGGACATACGCTTTTGAGCAAATACCTCGC